TTGCTTTGAAGGCAGTTGTGTGCTTCGTTCTCCCAACACTGAGAGTGGGCCTGTAAAAAACTTTATGTATCTGGGATAGAAGTGCTTAAATTGGCCTCACTTAGCACATTTATGGGAGGGGGAGAAAGGGATTATAATTCCCACCAAGTTCTGTTTGTTTTTTGGGATTGTGTTCTTTTGTAAAAGCAAGTTGGAGCAAAACTAGTAAGAGTAAGGGGACAACGAAAGAAAGCTGCATAGAAGATAAAGGCAGAGGGAGAGAACACAGGCAGAAATGGCAAATACTGGAAGTTAAATGATCTTTTGGGGAGAGGATCTCAAATCAGACAAGTAATAGGTTATTTAGAGTCTCATCTTCTTAAATGGTCTGCTGTATTTGAATATTATTTTATGTTTCTTAGAGATGCTTGTTTATGAAAAATACAAAGGAGATCTCAGGAAATATTTAATATTTTGATTGATTTAATAAAATAGATTTGTTTTTATTTCAGTGCATTAGTAACCCTGATTTATGTACTTGAGGTTTCTCTTTCCTGTGGGTTGTTGCTGTCATCCCTTAGAACTCAAAGGTTCATCAGGACATATAATAATTGTATTGAAATTGATGAATTAGTGATTTTTATCCAATTTGAGTAGCTCTCTGTGTACTAACAAAGAAAATTGAATGCCTTAAATGGAAAGTGATGCATTTCAAAATGTCAAGTAAAAAAAAAAAAAATACTTTCTGATTCTGTGTTCCTTTGTTTCTTGCTTCTCAAACTAAATTGAAACTGGTGATATTTCTTACTCAGTGTTGCTGTTGTATTTGCTGCCTAGCTGGAGACACTTGGATTAGAATGTTGTTTAAGGAATAAAAATGCTGAGGTGATGTTTTGGAGGGCTTTTTATTTTGTTGTCTTAGGCTTTGATGTGGGACCAAAACCAGACAGTATGGTGTTATTTAGAAAAATGAATGCTAGATTTGAATTTTATTAGAGCATGATTGCATGTTGTTGTCTTCTAAACTCTTGAACAGCTCTTAAGGCTGCCTTATGAGAGCTTCAAAAATTGCAGTGAAGAAGCACCAGTGGGTAGGCCAGTTTAAGTCCAAAACTGACATGACTAAAATTCATAAAATAGAACATCAAGCCTTAAAGACATTCAGGTAAAGATCTTCCCTTATTTCCTTTTTTTTTTTTTTTTTTTTTTTTTTTTTTTTTTTTTTTTTTTTTTTTTTTTTTTTTTTTTTTTTTTTTTTTTTTTTTTTTTGTTTAGAAGTATTGCCTTTTAGTGACTGCAATCAGTACAGAAATTATTTGGTGTTTATTTGTTTTTAGGATAATACAACAAGCTTAAAAATGAGAGAGTGCTACACAAATGTAAGTTGTTTGCTTTATGGATGTGTGACTGTGTAAACATATCATTCTATTTTAAGTAGAAGATGTGGATGTGTAATTACCAGAACCAGGGTTCAGTCTTTATCATCAATAAAATTAGTCATCTAATACAGCCCCTTAGTAGGTGAGGAGGTTGGTGTGATGTAAGTTTGTGAGAAGAATGGTGAAGTTATTTCCAGATTGGACAGGGAAGGGAAGAAGGAAATGTTCCGAAGCATGCCAGTAATGATAAACCTCACTTAAGCTATAAAAGTTTTAGAATGAAATGCTTTCGTCAATGCTCACATAAAAATAAGTTATGAGAAGTATTACTTCAATCTGTAACTTTGTAGAAATGCAGCCTGAAAGTATTTCCTTAGATTAAGCTGTCCAAGTGATGGTCACTTCAGAGGGAAGAAATGGAAGTGAGAAGGAGAAGGTATGTGTGCATGTTTCATGTAACTTGTAATTTGGAGTTACAAACAAAACATCAGTTACAAAAACCCAACCGGAACTTACAGTGTGTAGTGTGTGAGGACCTTGTGGTGTTTGTGCTAAGGGAATGTCAGTGGTTCAGATCTGGAGGTTGTTTAGTGCATCATGACCCAGAGGAAATAAGCATCAGTGTTGTAGTTGATGTTTGTAAGGGACTGATCAAGAACAGGTCATCAGTAACTGATCTCATCTTCTGATCTGATCTGATCTTAGGTTGTAGTCACAGCAGAGGAGCAGAGCGTGGTGACAGTGTTGTTACAAGGCAAGAGCTGGAAGTTTACCCGAGTTCAGCATCCACCTGAACAAATTCCTGATAAAAAAGTTCATCAAGAGTCTTAATCTTAGAGAAGTTACCTCAGGATTCAGGAAGTACTTGAGTGCCAAATTAGTGGAGACTAGAAGTGTATTTTGAGGAAGTATTTGTGTTGGTTTAGCTTTTTCCTATTTGCATTTCCAAAGCCACCTTTAGAGACAAGATAAGGGTGAGATGAACCTTTGGTCTGAGGGTAGCCACCGTGTTCAGTTCTCTACCTGTGTACTGTAAGAAAATCAAACCCAAACAAACTCCACAATTGTTGAATCAATACGTATGATAAGCATTAATATTTTCTAATGGATAAAGCACAGAGGTACATGTGAACGGTGCATTTCTTCTGTCAATTAGTAATAAGCAATTCTGCTCGATCTCCTATGAATATGAAGTGTGTGACTAAGAGGCATCTGCTGGTTATATCTGAAACTGTGCAAGTTTCCTGCCTGAGGGGAAACTCAGCTGCTGAAGCAAGTGGTGGAAATAATTTGGCTACTGCAGCAGAATTGCATTAGGTTAGACTGGTAGGGTGATACTAATACAGTGATAGAAAGTTAAGTGTGGGCCTGAGCTGAGGTGTCAGTGTTTCCTCCTCATGCATGTTTTTGATTATGCTTTGTAGAAGGTGTATGTTGTGCACTGCTGCACAGGGAGTAAAATAGGATCTCTGTGGGGGAGGGTTGTTTTCATCTCCCTGTGCTAACAGCCTCTGTACCTTACATCATGAGCCTCCTGCATTTTGCTGTGTTTTCAATGTTTTGTGACATCTTCAGGGCTTACTTCAGGCACATAATTTAGGAAAAGCTGGGATTTTAACATGGTTCTCTATCTATGCTGCAGAATATTATAGAACTATATGGAAGGTGTTTGGGCATCTCTGTTGTGGTAATTAAAGCAGACAGCACAGATGTTTCTTTCCCCTTTCTCTGTTCTACCTACACTAGACACTTTATATGGTTTTGATAAAATTGGATATGTAGTTTAAAATGTTGTCTGTCTTCTGTTTAGTACTACTGGGATTAGGATTAATGCAAGTACTAGTTTAGCTACATGCTTCAGGTAATTTGTCGTGCTCTGCTGGGGTCAGGCTCCACACTGCATGAATAACTAAGGTCCCTTCCAGCCTTAATTGTTCCATGAAAGTGGTATTCCAGAATAAAATTACTTTGCAAGTCAGGAATTACTGCACCAATTATTCAGCTGGGAAATCAAAATATTTGGGACAATGACGTCACTTAAGGAATAGGAAAAAGGCTCCCCTTAAGCCAGCAGCTAATGGTGATTCTGTGTGAAAGTTTGTGTTGCCTGAGTGTTTTCAAGTAACCATTGAAAAGTGAGATTGGTGGAGGGACTGTGCACGTCAGGCTGACCTGGAGAAAAGCACCACTTAACTAAGAGGTGTCTGTAGAGCAAAGGAGGTTTTAAAAGCAAACTTTTGAAACAGGAGGATAGGAATTGAAAGGATTATTCTGTAAGGAGAAACATTGCAACAGAACTAGAATTCCTAGCCTTTGTCAAACAATGAGGGTAATATGCTTGGCTGTAAGGCATGAAAAAAAACTATCTTGGCCAAGTGCATCGGAGGGAAACAGCCTGGGATGCCATCAGTTTCATTCTTGCTCTTTTCTGGTACCTGCATCCAGAAAATACTGGGCAGGGACAGAATGCTGTTAGAGAGCTGAGAACAGGCTGGGAGAAACACAGGGGTGCAAAGTGTGGTGAGTAGTTCTGCAGCTGATGAAACGGATGCCAAGCTTCCTGTTGATTTGTGTCTTCCACTGATGGGCTTTAAGGACTTCTTGCCATGATTCAATAATTTGTAAAGTTTATCCTAATGATAAATCTGCAGTGTCCAGTTGTATGAGCTCATGCTACAGTTTTCATCTAGCTGTGACACCCAGTGTTCTTGGCAGGGTCAGGGTTTTTGTTTTTATGAAACTTAAATGGAATTCAATTATCTTCATGACCCCCAACTCTTTACAGAGCTAAATGGAGTGGTGGCTAGGTTCAAAATTCGAGGGGGAGGAGTATAATAGCAGAAATGTGCTGAGTAAGCTTGCAAACCTGCTGTACCAAATTTGCATGTACCCACATCTACTGATGGATGGGCTTGCAGTGGCCAGTGGTGCAGACCATTGCAGGGAAGATCATGGGAAACACATGATCTGTAGGTATCTGTAGCTGCCCTCACTGAGATCTGAGTGGAACATCTTGACAGATGCATCCTTGCTTTGTCTCTCTTGAAACATTGATCAAAACCTGAAAATTCAAATTTAACAACAGCTACAAAGTGTGCAATGTCTACTAATGATCCTCTGCACAGTGTCCTGGGTGAAAATTGATTTCAGTAGTTCATAAATTTTTATAAGCACCGAAACAGCTGAGTTTGGATTTTTCAAGGGATTTGTTGCTGATGTTGAAAGATGTTAAAGGCTGAGACTTCCTGTTCTAGTGCTAGAAATGTCCTATTCTTGTCTAGCCCTTGAGATCAAAGGTTTTGTGATGAAATTGTACTTTTTAGGCATAAATGAAATTTCAAAATCAGAGTGAAGAGATGCAGTTCCTGCTTAGGTATTTATGATCTGAATTATTTGAGCAAAACAGATGAAGTTCTGGTTCAGGTTCTGGTTCACCAGCAGATGAGTGTTGGTTCAGGGTTTGTGCCCAGTTAAAAATTGCAGCTGTATTTGAGCTAGAGAAATTGTCTTTGAAGGTTCTGTAGATACAAGCTGAAACAAAATGGATTCACTTTTCTGGCTAACTGTCTTTATCTCATTTGTAAGGAGGCACTTGCTAATTTTAATAAAATTACTGGATTAGAGAAGCTACTAAGTTTTTAGTGGAAAGATAGTGTGATAGAACTGTATAGCTTTAACACTGACTTTTCAGAACTGTTTGTTTTTGAGAAAACCTCCACTTTAAACCTAACATTATTTAAAAAGAATAACATGTCATGAGTATGTACTCAGTTTTTTTTTCTCAGTTTGTAGCAATCTGAATGCATCTGGCAGAGAGGGCTTCTGAACATCAAAGTTCTTGTGACTTTTTTCTTTCTTTTTTTGCTAAGGAGTTTTCCTGCTGTGGCAAATGTCTGGCTATGAATTCCTTTGCAGATGATTAGTATTTTCCACAGTATATTACTGCTATATTTTGCTAAGTTTTCCCTGGTTTCCCATAAAACTGCAACTGTCTCTGGTATGCAGGCAAGATTTGTTAATTCATAAGTTAGCTATGATCCAATGTGAGGCAAATACTTAGAGTATTTTCATTTTTGTTTTCTTTAATGGCAAAATAACCTCAAAGTTGCTTTGAAAATTGCACTTGTTTTGAGGAAGCACTGGCTACTGTATGCCAGGGCCTTGCTTTATAAGGAATGCAGGAAATGGCCTGACTTGTTATCATTGCTTCTGTATTTAGTGCTTGGACTCCAGGGAGTTCATGTGCACTGATTTCTGATAGCTATTAAGTACTTCTTGTAAAGAAATTACCAAATAATATGTTCTGTGCTTGCGTAGAACAAATTATAAATAGGGTATTACAATCCTTGGGTGTTTTTGAAAAGAAAGCTGTGCAACTCATCTGAAATAGAGAAGAACGTTAACATGGATGTGAGCAGATGGTGAGAGTACCTCTGTTTAAGGTAAAACAATCTATGTCTGATGCAGTCATCCCTTGCTCATTAAGATAGGAAACTAATTTGGATTTTGGGAGTCTTCGTCCTGGTGGAGATGTTATTATGTCCTTTATTGGTTCCTCAAAGCTTCTTACCAGAAAACTATAAATTCTTTATTGGAAAGAAATTTTTTTCCTGGTTCCATTTTATGTATTTGCTAGGCTAGTTATAATTTTTTTTTAATTAAGCCTAAGTGAAAAGCTGATTTAATTTCCATTCTGTGTAGAGGCTTTGATCTGAAGGAGATGGTAGGCATCTTGAAGTGTCTTGGTTCTTGATTATTAAGACGTTTTCTTGCTGGGTTTTTTTTGGTTTTTTTTTTAAGAGTATTTTACTAATCTGAAAGAATGAATGATGTGCAAGACTCAAAATTATATAACAATGCACAGGTACTTGAGTGGTCATATTAACTTTAGACTCTAAACACATTTATGTGTGATTGTTACCAAGGCTAGACCAGAGCCAAAGAGGTCTGCATACTCCTGTCTGATCACAGCTGGTTGAGAAGGAAAATACTGCAAAATCTGACTGCAAGAGACACATTTCCCTTGGTGAGGGCTGTAGATAAATGTTGTGCTTAAGACCCACTTTTAAAGGAAGCAGGTGAGGTTCTGCTGGAGCAGTGGAAATATGGTGACTTCACCCAAATATGAATGTGTCTGTTTAATTTCAAAATTAGGGGACAAGTAAGTGGTGTAGGGGATTGTTTTATCACTTCTGAATTTCTGTTACAATCTCTTCAATTGCTTCTGGCTTTCCTTTAAAAATAAAATGTTTCTCACGTTTTTTGAGTGCTTGGCAAGAGGAGCACTCTTGAAGGTGAACAGATTGACAGCTGAAAACTGATTATTACTGTTACTTAAAATAGTGTGCAGCAGTTCAGATGAGAGCAGTCCTAGCTCGTAAAGATCACTTCTGGGTCTTCAATGACCTCCAGTTGTTACAAACTTCTGGTGAGTCCCTATAGCTTGGTCACTAATGGTTCAGGATTCTAGGATTTGAATTGAAACTTGTTTTTCTGAGTGTTTGAGGAATTTCCTACTGATAAATGATCCTAATGGAATTTGCTCTTCTCTTTGTAAATGTTGGAGAAGTTTAAATTCTGCTCACTCTCTGCCTTTGAACTTAAATGGCTGCAAAGTGAGAGGTTCAAAGAGAAGCAAAACTTAAGTGAAAAAGTTAACTGATGCTGCATGGTTAGCATTTAAAAGAAGGTCTATCAGTATTTCAATCATGCTTATGCCTAGGGAGCTTTTCTGCTGATGTGTTATATGAATGTACTGCTTAGAACTGGCATGCAGTATAAAGTTTCATCAAAACTATTGCAATTTCAAAAAATATTTCGTATCACTTTTTTTATGTCAAACTATTTAAAAAACCAGCAGTCTGCTTTTGAAATTTGATAGAAGTTTGTACACTGACTTTAGAAGTTTCCCAAGGACAGGACTTAAATACAGCAATCGTATTACATGTATGTATGCTGTTGAGGCTGTCTTACAAAGAATAAGGCTGAAATTCAATTTTTCAGATAATCACTAACCTTTTATCTTGAATGCTGGAAGTCACTGGATTTGTCAGTGCAAGTGTGCTGTCATAAACTGACCAAAATGCAGTACTGTAATGTGAAATTGTGAAATAAGCAGTTACGGCGTGTCTGGGATTCTCTAGATGTTGTGAATGGAGGTGCTGTGGTAGCTGTGTACCGTGTTTCTGAGAGCTGAGCAATGTGTGTTTGTCTGCAGTTGTGACTTCGTGGAACAGTGGCTCTCCTTGTGAACAGGAGACTACTTGGTGATAGGGAGATCAAGGCCGTCGATTTCAGCAGACAAAAAAGGCTTTTTTTTTTTTTTTTAAAGAGCTGGCTGTTGTTATATATAAATACTTTGAAGACCATATAAATTTTTTTTTCATCTGCTAAAGAAAAAATAACTTGCAATTATCAAGCAGCACCTGAATGGATTCATAATCTTGTAAGTTGTAGTCCAAGCAGTTCTGAATAGTCTCAGAAAGCATGATTCTATTTTATTTTTTTTTAAATAAAGTTCAGAAAATGCCCAACTGCTCTTTAGAATTCTTAGGCAACAGCAAGACTCTGAAAACTGCACTTACCTCAGGCTGCTGCTTCTTGGAAAAGCTAAGTAAGAATTCTTGATAGGACTTTGTAAGTCAGGGTGTTCTTGCATCTAAAAATCTGACATAGCAGTTTAAACCAGCTGTAAATTAATGAAGAGATTAAAGCCAGCTTAGCTTTCTAGACAGTCTGAGAAGGTGGTGTCAAATATATGAGACTTCTCATTAGGATGTTATCTGTGGCTGGTAGGCTTAGGCTGTCTACAAAATACTCAGTATATCTTCAGCAGAAGTTTTAATATGGTTGTCCTGCTAACAGGAGCACAGTAAATAATTGCAGACATCCTCTTTTGTTTAAATCTTGTCTTGGTAACTGTAACATCATTTCTGATTTAATTTTGCTTTGTGAAGGGTTTCACTTGGATTTGTCTTCAGACTGAGCTGAAATGTATAGAACCACTTATAAAGATGTCTGTCCTTCACACTATAGGCCATTGAAATGAAGTAGATAAAACAAGAGCTTGGCCAGACTTAAAGAATTTAAAGAATCTGTTATAAATCTACTAAAGTCTTGCTGTCTATGTGGGGAGTCCAGAGAAATACAGTCACTTTGTTTGAAGCACATCTCGCTGGTTTGATTCAAGGAGGGGAAAAAAAAAAGCCTGTCTAAAATCCAAACCCTTCTAATGGGTATGAATTGAAAGAGAGTATAAATAATTTTGAATTACCTGCCTTATTTGCTGCAGAGAATTCTTACTTTGTAGATATTTGCATTACTTAAACTCAGAATGATTTCCATTTATAAGGTTCATCTAGTTCAGTGAAACTGGGTTTTAATGAGGATTGCTGATTATGTAACCCTCCTAGCAGAAACTCATTATTCCTGATTTTTATCTTGCTGCTGGGGTGTGCATACTGGCTGTTGCTGGAAGACATCTTATCTCCTGGGCTCAGACCCAGCTGTGTGCAAAAAGCTGCAGAATAAAGTAGAAGTAATGCTGAAAAATAACACAGTTCTTGTAGTAATCTCTTGAAAGATTATTTTAATAAAGAGTCTGCATAGAGATTGTGGTGAATATGGGAAGTTGTATCATAGCCCTAAACACAAGACTGGAATTGGAGAAAGTGCAAAATACCATTTTCTTGGTGGTGGCCTTAAGCAGAAATGCCCTTTTGGAGTTTCTTTTCTTACCTAGTAGTGACTGACACATCCTGTAAAGGGCTGTTAAAGAGATTAGTCAATGAGCAGCTGTATTTAAATAGCTTATTTTGCTTGTCCAAGAAATATCATTTCATAAGCATTATTTATCTTGTTAAGAAGGTTAAGTACAATATTTTCCAAAGGAAGAGAGGTCCTTCAGTGTCATTATGGCCTTTACAATCATGGTACAGCAGTTTGAAAGGTCTGGTTTTGTAATCTAGTGAGGTAAGATGGAAGTCCTCTTGATAATGTGCTTTATCAATGCTATATTTGTATAGTCTTTAGAATGACTTCTACTCCCAAGATTGCACCTCTGTAGTTGCTCAAGTCTGAAAACCGATATGAACCTGAAGGTGTCTTTTGTGTGTCTTGGGTCTAGTGGTGCAAAAAGAAACCAAGTGCTTACTAGCACCAGTGGGCAGAGTAATTCAAAAGCCGTGAATTTGTGTGGCTTCTTTTTAAGTTTGACACTCCCTCCCCCCAAATAAACAAAAATTGGCCTCTTCAGAATTTAACATCCTGGGTTTCTGAAGGACACGTGCAACTTTGTCAGCCGGTGGTGTGGGACTTAGTAGTTGTCCACATGTGATTTGTTGTGTGTGTTTCTAATGTTTCATTTCCTTTTCAGGTCTGCTAAATCCACTCTGAAGCCAAGGGGAGATAACCAGTCCAAGGGAAGTGTTGCTGCTTTACATGGACATCTGCTCTTGCGGCATGGCCCAGATATCCAGCAGCAATGGATTCAAACAGCGCTCCTCACCTTCTCTGTCAGCCCCAAGGTCAAAAGATGTGGACAAAGAGGAGGCACTGCAGATGGAAGCTGAGGCATTAGCCAAGATGCAGAAAGAAAGAGGTGTAGCTGGTAATAAACAAACCTTTCATTCTTTAAGCAGCCCCAGACAAAAAGCACAGGTTCATAACAAGCAGGACCATGATCTCATGGTGTTTCCAGAGTCTGATGCCAAGAGCATGGAAGATAAACTAAGTACCATTGACATCGAGAAGCTTACTCATGCTGAACTAGAGAAACTGCTGCTGGATGACAATTTTGAATCTAGTAAAGTACCTGTGTTACCAGCAAGTCCTATTTTGAGCCCATCTGTGTCTTCACAATTTTATCTTGGGCCCGCGGGTCAGAGGAGACAGTGGACACCTGGAATACCAGCACCTGTGACATGCACTTTACCTCCTATTTACACCTCAGCTTCTTACACAAAACAGACTGGTGTATTTCAGAATGGATTCCATCCAAGTATGTCATCCTATCCCCCTAGAGAGCCTATTTATCTTGGTCTTCCTAGACAGTCACAATACATTTCCTACCCCGTGGCAGCTACCACACCTTTCCATCCACATGGTGCCCTACCTTTCTACCCTCCAATACTCACACCTGAAATGGCAAAAGTATTTGACAAAATTGCAAGCACTTCAGAATTCCTGAGAAACGGGAAGTCGAGCACGGACCTAGAAATGACTTCCATAAAGTCTGCAGTGTCCAACCTGCCGGCCTCAGGGAGCTGTGGGGATGTCAGTAAATTCGACTGGCTGGATTTGGATCCTCTGAGTAAACCAAAAGTGGACACTGTGGAGACTCTAAACATGGCAGAGGATGATGGAGAGAGGGCTTCAAGTATGACTGCTGAAGATCCGTGGGATGCTGTTCTGTTAGAAGAAAAGCTGTTACTAACTTGTCATCTAGAAAGAAAGGTTAATGGGAAATCTTCTGGAGCCACAGTCACAAGGAGTCAGTCCTTAAACATGAGAACAACTCAGATTGCAAAGTTACAGGGCCAAACATCACAGGTATGTAAATCAGTATCTTGAAATTGCAGTATAACAGAAAAGATTAATGACAGTATTTAAAGACACTTTAAGGTCTGTTATTTATTTTGTATTACTTGGCTCGAGCAGTGTCCAAATAATGTGATGTTATGGCATATGTATTAGTGCTATTCAGAAAATTGAACATTACTACTGAATTATCTCCCAAAATACCTCTGCCTCTGTGTAATCCTTCCACATTTACTGAGGAAATTGCTGGTTTTCCACTCAACACTCCAGTAAGAAATCGCAGTAATACTCAGCTTAATTGTCTAAATCATATTGATAAATATTTCAATTTTATGAGCAATTCACATGATACTGTGAAATAAAAAAGTGTCAAGCTAAGCACTGAAAGTTTTATCTTGCCTTTTACAAGACCACAGTAATTCTCTTTTGTGGGTAGAAAGCTTTTCTTCTGTGTAGGAATGCAAGACAGAACTTTTGGTTTTGTGCTGGGTGGTGTAGTGGTTGTTGGGTCAGAAACACTGTACTTCTGCTCTAGAAGAAGGCAGAACATCTTTGTGTGGTGTTACTTTTATCAGACAGGGCAAAAACATGTTTGAGAGGTTCTTCTCTAGGATCACTTTAACAAAACATTCAAGACCAAACTCTCAACAGGGGCTTTATTTATGGCACTCCTATCTTTGAACATGGAGCACATGCAGTTTGTGTCAAAAGCAAACTGTGCAGCAGGTGATCAATAGTGTCATAGTCTCACCTGCTTAATTATGCCCCATTAGGGCATCCTACTTTCTCCCAAGCCCAGTAAAAGAACTGTAGGTTATTTAACTTTTTCTATATTTTTAGTTCTTTCTGTGATAATTCCACCACAAGAAAACCCACATTGTGTTTTAAAATATTAGTCAGCTCACTAGAAAGTGGATATGAATACTTCTGGGTTTTGGGGTTTTTTGGAGGAGTACAAAGACTAAAAGAGAAGTGGAGAAGTTTTCAGTGGAAAAGCCACTATCACCCTGGCAAGGGTGATAATAGCCAAAAAAAAATTGTATTTGTAGGAACCGGTTGGAGAATGGAAAGTAAACTATTTGTTTGCTTTGGAGGCTTTGGTTTACAGATGTTTTAAATCTTAGGTGTTGTCTTTCTAGGTGTTTTTAATAGGCTAGGACATGCCATAAAAACCCAACTGTTATCACTCAAGGATATTTTCTAAATAATTCCTTATATCTTCCCTCTCCACCCCCAAACTGGAGGATGGCTTTTTCCTCATAAATAGGAATATTTACTAGACTGTGGCCTAAAAGGCTGTCTAAATTTCCACTGAAGTGAATTTTTTGGCCCCTCATTTGAAGGATTTCCTGTTTTTTCTGGGTTAGGTGTCAGTATTCTGGCAAAAGTTCAATAGAAGGCAAAAACCACCCTGAAACCCAAAAAATCCATTTATCTCTGGTTTTGTGCCATGTGTGCAGATCTTGGGTCTGATTTAACATTTTTTTCCCTACTTGCTGTTGAGCTGTGATACATTAGCTCTGTTATTTCCTAGTATTTGGAGAGACATGTAAATTTGGGCTCTACAGCAATTTGCTGCTCGGTTTGCTATGTCACCTGGTGATGTGTTTGTCGGTTTTTGAATGGTGCTTGGTTGGCTGTAATTAACTTCTGACTAATTACTGGGCTACACAGGATCAGTGCTTCTCAGGTGGTGTCTGTAGGAAGTAATGTTTGACTGTTACTGAATCAAATCTGGCTTTATACATTCCAGGTTTTTCAAGAATGTAGGATTTCAAAGGGTCTTTCCTGTTGATAAGGTCCAGTCTCCTGCTGTTTGCATGTCATGTACTGACTACTGATTCATAAATTAAGTTCAAGCTCTGCCTTCACATGTGGTCTCTTCTTCCTGCCACTTTTGATTTAAAGGCTGCTCTAGCTCCTCCTCATCAGTCATCTGATTTTCAGCAGAACACATTTGTAACTAGTTCTTAGGAACTGTTCTTCTTTCAGGATGGAACAGCAGGTGCTTAAGATGAAAGAATAATTTTGATATTTACTTCAACATGTTACAAGAGATGGTGACTTTCTGTCAGCTTTCATTGCAAGCTCTGTGTGAGAGCTTCTCTTTCCTTTTTTATTTTTTTTTTGAAGATGACTTACGAGAATTTTAGCTCTCTGTGTGAGAGCACAGTGCACCACATACCTTGTACATCAGCATGAATAAACCCTCATTACAGGCAGGACCATCCTGCTTAGTACTCTTTTATTGCATTTGCTCTATTTGTGATAGCATCACAACATCAATTCTGTAGGCAATTAATTTTTATTAAGTCACCATCTTTTTCAAACAAGTTCTTAATTTGTAGCCAACTTCTGCAGTGAATGCCCAATTGCAGGTTTGAGATTTACTTTCCACTTGTGCTCCTGCAGACTTGTTTTGGCAGAACACTCCAGTTCTAGCCTGTGTTACGAAGGTAGGTGATGATTGAGTTAGCAGGGTTGTTTCTGCTGAGTTATTAAAGGAGAAAATAAATAGATTTAAAGATGAATCTCTCAATTGGATGTCCTTTAAATATAACCTGGATAGTCTCTCTTTTGCCTGTCCCGTGCCTCTACTTTATTTTCTACTTTAAATAATTTTCCACTCAGTATGATAGGAAGCTGAGTTACGTAGCCTCTATTTTTGGCAGTTCTCTTGCAGTTTACCCAATTTACCCAGGTTTATATGTTCTTCAAAGTATACTTTTAAGTCTTGCATCTTAACAAGTCAGGATCATTCCCCCCAAACCCTTCTTGAAAAACTCGGTCTTGCTGCCCTTTAGAAAAAATACTAATATTTTGATTCTGTCAAAAGTTATGACTATCTGTTTAATCCCTGAATCAATAGATTGCTTTGTTTTGGTGAAGTATCTATTTGTATCTATTCTTATGATTGCCTATTTTGTGTATATATTAATATTTGAAGTAATACTAAGTTTAGTATTCTCCTTTAAATAATTGTGTTTGTCACTCATTTCTTAAAGCAGAAGCATAAGGCATAATTTTGTCCTCTTTTATGTGTTGTTTTCTCTTGCTTTCCAGAGCTTCTGAGTATTGTGACTTTGTATACTCATGGAAATTGATTTAACTTTACTTTTGTTAATTTATTGGGGTTTGGTTTTGTGTTTCATTGTTCAGATTAATTGTATTTACAGATCACTTCTATTTTTGCAGCCTGTGATGACATGAACTATTTATCTCATTTGGCCTGAAGTCCTTTCTTTTGAGTTATTTCCTGTTTGACTGATAGCTTTTGCACCTCCTAGATTGACCCAAGTGGAAGTTAAAGGAAAATTCTACTTGTTGCACAAAACCCATCTGAGTCCAGTGGGTTTAAATAGAATTCTTAATAGAATTCTTAGTTTTTCAGAGCTTATTGTCCTGACATTATTTTCCCAAAAGTGATCAAAAATTAATATTGAAGTTCAGCTAAAAATAAAGAGGTGATTGTTCTTAATTTTCAACCAGGAGGTCTTTTCAATTATGATGTTTTTGTAATAACATGAGGTTTCTTTCCTTAGCCTAGTGTGACCCCGAGGTGAACCATGGATAACCAAATCTTTTTTCTTTGCTCATTAGATTAGAATTTGTTATTTACCCTGGCTAAGCTTGCATGTGTTGACATGCCTTGTTAGTTCCCCAAACTTTGAATTTAACAGTAGAACAACCTGCAAATTTTTCTGTAAAGAATTCAAAAGTGTCACATAGTGGCATAAAGTGGTGTTTCATCATTGGTGTGACTTTACTTGAAGGAGGCCCCTTGTTTAGTGCTTTTATCCTATGGTTGCATAGTGCTTTGTGTACTTATTTGTAGCATTCCTTAAAGAGTTTTTAAATTGAATTTAGCATTTGTAGAGGAGCTTCTTGATTTGCAGTGGCTGAGTCTTGTGTTGAGTGCCAACCAGCAGGTGATGAACCTTCATCAGAGGTGCTTGCCTTCCCTGGGTGTGTTCCCTGCCTTCTTCCTTGGGATTTTTGGTGGTGGTGTTCTGCAATTGCTTAGAGAGTGTGTTTACTAGACACAGTTGCACAGGTTGGCAGGTCTTGTGAGGTTGCCCAGTATTTTTATGTAATAAAACTTGTCTGAGATGTTATAATAGAAGAACCTATTTAAATTTAAGATATTATGCATGCTCCTGCAGCTCATTTTCTAGGTTTGTGGCTTTTTTGTCTCCTGTAGTATGGCTAATCCCCAATTACACAGAATTTGTCCTTTTGACTGATCAGTGTTCATTCAACCAATATTTCAGCTGAAATAATTAGGTTTAAGTACAAATCAAGCGGCAATTATAGGTTGTATCTCTTCCAAGTTTATGCTGTACTACTTAAAGAAGTTAATTTGAAGGGAAAAAAGTGCTTAAAAGAAGTGATAGTATGTGGCTCTGAGATTTGACCCCTTTTCTGTTTGATACACTCTAATGAAATTAGGTGACTGCTTTGGCTAATAATAAATAACCCACATACTTGTTAAGTGGTTACTCACTACTTCAAATATTAATAAATTGTGGTGATTTTCAGAAAAACTGTAGTGCAGTCTGCTTTGTTCCTGGCCTTGTGGTTGGATTAAAGATTTCTATAAGCATTGGAAAAGCTTTGGATGAAAACTGGTCATGTAACTTATTCCAGGGAGGATCTGGTAGGAGCTTCATGAATCCTTCAGGCTAGTGGTGGCTATTATACTATGGTCAACTGAGTTCCACTGGTTATTCCAACTTTTCTCTGCTTTTTGCTCACTCCAGCATTTGCATGGATGTATTGTGAATTGGATCAGAAAACAGATATGAATTTAAAATCTGCTGCAGTTCTGTGTTTATTATTTTGATTTTGCTGTTTTTTAAAGTTTATTAGATTTTGCTGTTTGAAACTACAGGTCTCTTTTAGCAGTTGTTCTTTGATTTGGATTGTGGTTTACAGTTTTGGGACATGATGGGAACATTTGGCATAAGGAATTAAAATTAAGTTGATTCCATGGGGTTAGTTGTAAGTTTCATGTTCTGAATGCTATTTCCTTCCAGTGTTCAACTTGTATTTTCGTGCTTTGTAGGAAGAGATAATTGTGGGCACCAGTGATATGTAGTGGATGTTTCTGGAACTACACTGAATTTGAATTGCAGAACTGGAGAAAAAGTACATTTTTCTTCCATCTGTGGTTCAGCTGAATTTAGTCAAATCCGAATACAACAGGTCACTGCTGAGAGCTCAGGAACTGCTTGCAACTTAATATTAACTTATAATATTGATAATAACTGATAGTATTGATAATAACTGATACTGGCAAATGAATGACCTGCTCTCAAGTAGTCACTGCTCCAGTGAATCTATACTTTTCAAGTTAGTACTGATACATGGTTATCTCCATGTAGCAGTAGATGTAAAACTTGAACTCATGAAAATCTGTCAGCTGCATGTGGCTTTGCTGGCATTAGGAATATGTTTGCAGCTATTTAAATCCTGTGTTATCTTTGAGTTGCAGAAAGACAATGGGACCACTGGCACGCTGACAGAAAACGTGCTTCTCCAAGCAATTGAAGGGCAGAATCAAGAGCTCTCAGCTTTTTCTGAAGCAGTTACAAAGTAAGGAATGACTAAATATTAATTAACTTTCAGAAGAGAAAAAAAAAAGCTAAATGATTCATTTTCAGTTAGCTTGACAGGAACAGTCCTATATTTTTTTTGCTTGATGGGACAAATTTCAGTATGTATCCTTTTTCCTTTTCTTATCTCAGATTTTCCTGGTTTTGTCCTGGTTTGTTTATTTTTTTTCAAGAATGCAACAGAATTGTTAAGATCTTCAGTACTAAGATTATTGTTATCTTATGTCCTCCTTCTTATTTTGGTTCTGTGGCTTTCACTTTTCCTTGTTTTTGTGATAACCTTTTTATCCTCAAAGTATTTTTCTTTGTCTCAATTTTTTATTGCAATTTCTGTAGAAAGAGTTGTAAGTCTTTTTTTTTCTTGTTAGCTGAGACACCTCATGAAGTCCTACACTCTGTGGATTTCCAGCCTTTAAATGCTTTTTATTTTGTTGCTTCCACAACTGGAATTCTGTAGCATAAAGTCTTTAAACTTGTCTCTCTCCTTTGATCCCTAAAGATCAAGTAAAGTTTCTTAAAGATCATGTGGGATTTTTTTCTTACTGCCACAATTTAATGAGAGATTATTTTTTTGTGCTCTTAGAGGAAACAAACTACTGTTGCCTTTTTTCCATTTGAGATCAAAATTCAAGAAATAATGGAGTAAATAGAGATCTTTGAATCTCAATGATAGCATCTGTTTTTTTAAAGCAGGAATGTTTGTGAAAGGAAAAGGAAACTCCACAAAAATAGTGAAAATTCATATATATGGGAAACTTACTGATGATGATTAATACAAAGCTCATATAGGATAGGCTTGTTGAAACACTTTCTGGTTAAATCTAATTGTTACCCTTTCTTTCAAGACCCAGTGTTTAAAATACTGATATGCTTTCAACTGGATAACTCTTGCTGGAGGATCTTGCTATTGTCCAGAATCAAGATGATGAAATAAATGATCTTTACAGAGTAGTTATGTTCTTAATCTCCTATAATATTACTTTAATATTAGCAGAAGTTTAAGGTTAAATTATTTTATACATGTTAAATAGCAGGAGATTAAAAGCAGCTTTCCAAGTATGGTTTATTCACTTGTAGGTAAACAGTTCTATACTGCTTATGTCCTAAATAAAAGCCTTTACCTCAATTAAGGCCTCTTCCTCAACTTCCATAGCTTGGAATAGCTACCTTCTGAATGGTATCTAAATTCAGATTAGAGATTAGACTTCTAAAAGTTGAAACATGTGAAGAGGCTTGTTGGTTTCTGGTTTCTTTGGTTTTTGTTTTTTTTTTTTTCTTTTTAGAGCTTTACTTCTGCAGAAGTTGTATATGTCCTGTAAGAATTGACCTATTAAATATTTTAAGCTATGTGGAAAACCTGCCTAATTATACACTTAAGATTTTTCTCCTGTCTAACTACTGGTTGGGTAATTATTGTGGGCAATGTTCTGTTGAGAGTAGAAAAATTAAATGGTGCTTTGCACATGCAATTTAGGTAGAGAGCCAAAGGTAGTCTTTACTGTTCTGCCTTGTGGTAATTACCATGTTATTTTGCTTTCATCTTGTTCTTCTCCATTGCAATGTTTCATAAACCTTCTCTTCTTCCAGATTGAGGACCAAGTTTCCTTATACTGATCAGCAAACAAACCCAGGTTTTGTGCTGAGTCCAATCATGCTGCAGAGAAATATAAGTGGGGAGAGTGCCAGTATCAAAGTTTCAATAGAAATCGAAGAATTCCAGCAACCAGTAACTTTCACATGTGATGGTATGTTCCTGCTTCTTGAGTTGGAGTTTGCTTTTGAAAGACTGTACACTCAGCCCTGGAAAATTTCAGTTTTTGTAATCCCTGGGTCTCTGGGGCATGAGTTGTTTATGGGAAATGTGGAAGAGGTAACTGAGGAAAGGACTAGTTCTGGGTCAGTGCCTCCATCAGAAAATATTTAGAAGTTGACAAATTGAAATATTGTCTGTAAAAAAAGGAAAGTCCAGCAAACCAGAAGCACTATTCTGTCCATAGCTGGATAGAATAAAACAGTTTTCCAAGACTTTTTACTTCATAGTTATTGAGGGGATAATGACACCAGGACTGAGATTTTTAGTGTTTAATTTTTAATTTCAACAGTCTAACATATTTTAAAATAAATTTTTGTAGGCTATCTAAAAATTCAGGCAAACTGCTGCTGGAGAATAGGAATAAACACTAAAACTATGTATTACTTGCCTTCAATACATGCTTATGAACACAAACACTAAAATAATACTGTCGGATGTGCCACAACTGGCTGTCCCAGTTTTGTGGGTAACCAAGAATATTGGTTTGGGGTGGACCTTTGAGGTTTGCCTGGCTGTACTACATACATTCATATTCTCTGTGCAGTCTTGACTGCACAGTGGTTGTATTTGTAACTGCATGCTGTCAACTTCTGGCAGTTCTGGCTGATGAAGTCACTGGTAATAAACTTTTTTGCCTCTATACTTCTGTAGTCTCTCGTCACTTATGAGGGTTATCATTTGGATCTTAACTTCTTACAGTGTAGATGCTTCAGAGCTGGTTCTCCAAAGATCTGGAGTTATTCTGTTGCTCACATGAACTTGCTGCTCTCTTGCAAAAACAAGCTCTCGGTGCATCAGTGTTTTCATTCTATATTAAGTAGCTGGGCCTTACATTTTATTCTGTGGTAACTGAATCTTTTTGTTAAGAAATGAGGTGGATTGTAAATATAGCCTAGGAAGAGTTTCTGCACTTAATCCTTAAGACTATACTTTGCTAGTATTACAGGCTTAATCCTTTCCTACAGAAGGCTTTGGCAGGGTAACTAAAATGCTAGGGCTTCAGCCCTTTATTTCTGGTATTTTTTGTGACTCGCTTGGAATGCATTTTGCATTCTAACCCGACATACTTTCTCCTTTGCACTTTCTACTCCCTTCCTTTTTTATGAGGCTGAAACTGATCTTAGTTAAAACTACTTGTCTTCCATAGCTGGTGAAAGGTGGGTATGTGACTTGTAATGGAGGTATTGAAAGTTATTCTCTACCTTTAATTCCTTCTCTTCTTGGTCAGATTGTTACATTCCTTGGCATCCTGATGTTAGAGCTGCTGTGGCTTTCAGTCTTGCTCGGAAGGAGCTGCAGGCTCTCAGTGCTCTGACAACTGTTTGTAGAAAGGGCCCAGGAGGGAAATGGATGAACTTTAGGGCTTATTTGGATTAATTCTGCATTCATTTATTAGACTTTGCATCGAAGTTTGCTCTATCTGAGCAAACATTGTTTGTCAGCAAGAAATTAATGTCTTTGAATAAGATGTAGGGCAGGGAAAAGGTGGTAACATCTTTGCAGGGCTGGCAGACCTTTGGCAAGGCAGCCTGTGGCTACAGCACAGAAACTATCCCTGTGTGAAATATCACTACATCTTTTCTCTTCATCAACTGCCACATATATTCTCTGCTGAAGGTAGTACAGTCTTTCCACCCAATAATAAGTTAAACAGTCTTAATGACTTAAAGTGTTTCTGAATTAATACTTCCCATCATTCCCTGTTCTTGAATTTCACACAGTCATTCTTCACATGTGCTTGTATACATCTCTGCTTGTAATAATTAATCATTTGTTAAGGTGAAGCACATGTGTTATCTTTTGGAAAATATTGTGGCATTACCTCTGTATCTGCCATAGAGGTAATATTTCTTTCTTAAAAAAAAAAGGATAAAATCAGGAAGGTCCCTGGAGTGGGGAAAAACCCCACTCTGAAGGTAATGACAAAATATAAAATTGCTTTTATATAGTAGCTTTTTTACAAATTTTTGAGGCACTTGGATATTATTTGCAAATGATTTGAAGGAGATCACCTGAAACTAGGTAGGGAGGGCTAAGAGCGCATTTTGCATTTAAACATTTGTGTCATTCAAACTTATCTGTATTTTTAGACAGTGACAGCTGGTGGCTCTGGGGGAATGGATTTTGGGTTTGACTGGGATTATATTTTTGGTCTGTAGATACAGGATGGAAGAGAGACTATTTTCCAAAAAGCATTGAGAGCCTGATGCAGAAGTACTGCTAGCTAAGAGTTGCATTTTGCAAAGGCTTGGTGATGCTTACTGAGATCACTGAGATCTGCTCTGTACTAAGTACAAACTTCCCTAAGTGGAAAAAAAAAAGGGGAAAAGGGCTTTCAGCAGGATTTATCTCAGCCACAGCTGATACTCAGTTCCTCAAAAGCCAAACAAATAGAGTAGTTCAATCTCCAACTCTTCAGATGGTGTTTTTTAAACTGAAAGTGCTTCTGGGATCACTTACCTGTTTGAAGTCCTTGTTAAATAGGGCAAATTTGTAATAAAATTAAAAAAAAAAGAAAAATGCTATTTTCAGTCCTGCAGACAGTGTTTGTACTTCTGGTTCAGTGACTCCACTGTATCCTAATTTTTAATTTTTTGGAGCTTTTTATAATGGCAGGTTTCATGAGATACCTTTCTTCATGAGAGAAGTGAAGATCTCAAACAATAAAATTTAGGTGATAATAGAAGCGTAAAAGTCTCTACAAGTACAAAAATCTATTTCATTAAATACCTACAATTTGTAAGTGAGCAGTAGTTAATATCACTCGCTATAGATTTGTATTTAACTTTGAGATATAATTTCTTTAAACAGTGAGTTCCCCTGTTGAGCTTATAATAATGCAGGCACTTTGCTGGGTGCATGATGACTTGAATGAAGTGGACATTGGCAGCTATATCCTGAAAGTCTGTGGCCAAGAAGAAGTTTTACAGAAGTAAGCAAACTCTTTTTCATTAATACTTAATTTCATGCTTTTTTGTGACACAGTTACTGGAAAGTGCATCTCTAGTGATTAAATGTGTGAAAGAAACCTTTAAAATGTAAGGGAGTCACTCTTTGCACAAAGATCAGAAGTTTTTGGAATTGGCTCTGGGACATAGCAAAGTAAGTTGTCATCACCTCTGTTCTAATACAGATGCATATTTTCTAGAGCATTTCCATATTGTAGCTTTTGAGCACTCTTCAAATCTCAGAAACTGAAAAAAAAAATAAAGATCAACTGTTTTCTAATAAACTGAGGGAGTTGTGGTTTGGTAGGGTTTTGTTTGTTTCTTGGTTTGATTTTTGGTCTGGTTTTTTTTGTTGTAATTTTTTTCCTAAACCAAAGGTTAAAAAAGCCCCATTCTGGGTTAGAATATTTGGTTGCAGTGTTAACCACTGTGGTTAAGAGCTTTAGCACAAGTACACGTGTCTGCAACAGTGTATAAAAACTTGTGCAGAAGTAAAAAATCAGATCAAGGTTGGCGTGGAGGTTGATTCACCATTTCTTTACTTCATGGCAACAGGTTGCCTGGAATATTTGGTGTGAGTTTTTGGGCAAGTTGTGACCGTGCTTGCTTTTGTTTCTCAGCAAGCACTGCATAGGAAGTCATGAGTACATCCAGAGCTGCCGGAAGTGGGACACGGACATCAGCCTGCAGCTGCTGACCCACAGCGGGATGTGCAGCGACCTGGCTCGGACAGTGAGTACTGCTGGGCTGCAGGAGAGGGCTGGGCCCAGGCTGTGACCTCCTTGTGTGACTGACACATTAGCATGCCTGCCTGCTGTTGGGAGTGCTATCCTCTTATACTGCGAGGAAGTGAAATACCTAACTGATCTTTTCAAAGCAAATTACATAAATGTGGATAATGCCTCTTACTAGAACCAAGCATTTTATACCTAGAAAAGGTATGCTAGCAGTTGGACTAAACTTGAGGCTTGAAAAAGAAGGAACAAATTTCAGAGTTAAACAGAAGTTGGGAACAGTTTTTGAGTTTAATTAAATATGTATCAGACCATCAAGGAAGAAGGAAGGAGTATCTGGTGTCTGCATAGTTGGGCACTTGATGGCTGTTTCTTCTCTCTGTCCCCATGTGTACACATTTCACAGGCTATTAAATAGTAGTTTCTTTTCCCCTCTAAAGAGATCACATTATATGTTTCCCCTTCAACACCCCAGGTGTTAGTAATTAATTTTCTAAACGTTATGCATATTACATAAAAATGAGAACTGGATTTAGTACCTAATATTTTATTGCAGGAAGATGATGACAGGACACCTGTACATCTAACCAAACACCTCTACAAAGTAGAAAAGCCTTTCAGAGAACCTATCATAAGGTAATGTTTTGTGCTTATTTAAATAATCAAGTGCTGATCACTGCTGAATTCCTGACCGAGGTTCTGTTCTGTTCTTGTGTTCAAGAGCTTTTATTTCTTGCAGGTCTTCCATTGAAGAGCTTCTTGAGGTGTATCACAAGCAAGTTAACATAGCCCTTAAGAATGAGGTAAGGTTTATTGCTGAACCAAAAGTAGCATGACCAAAGTCACTGGTAAGGTAGCTGGCAAAAAGACTTGCAGGTTTTCTCAGGGAAACTGAGAATCTGAGCAAGCTGTCAAATGGGAAATTATAATCATGGGTATTTAGATTGATGTTCTTCTTCCTGGATTTTCTTGCAAACCAGTTATTACCTGATTATCACAACTAGAAATGTATCTTCCAAGTCCTGGGGTGCAAAATAGCCTCTACCTCATACATTCAGGAGAACAGGGAAGAAGTCTGAATTCTGACTATGGCTGTTGTTGACAGCCATGACCAATGGCTAGCAGAAAAATACTAGCAGAAATAAATCTGCATAATAAAAAGCAGGAAAAGTTGTGTACAATGGAAATTGGAACTGAAGCGTGTTTGGAACATGCAAGTAAGTTCTACAAAAGCATAATAATGTTTTATTCTGCATTATTTAATTAATTTAAAATACCCTGTCAAAAAAATTGTCTCTTTCAGTGTATGATAGGTAGCTTAAAGCAGCTTGAATGTTGAATAGTTATGAGTAATATTCCATCTGCAAAAGCTTAAGGATATAATCTGCATTGCTCATTTCTCAAAGGAGAAGCTGCATTTAACTGCTGATAGTAATGTAACTTGGAGTCTTAAATGTATCAACATTAGATAACTGTTTTTCTTAACCAGTCTCAAAATTAATTACTTAATTGCAATACTTTGCATTTCCACTATGTTTGTTTGCCTCTTTAGGAATGCAGGTCTGAACAAGCTGCTGTCTACTATTTCCATACTCCCTTAATATTATTTAATTCCCTTGGTGGTGATTCACCATGTTCTCAAGGGTAGTTTTGAACACAACCTTTTTGTAGAAGATTGAGCTGTTACTGCTCCCTGCCATGGTGGTGGAGTTGTTGATTTCCTCTTGCAGCTGCTTCAACTTCTTTGTTGAGCAGTGATTTCACAGACTGAGATGAGGAATGCAAAACATCTCGATTCAGATTTGTGTTCTAGTCTTTGTTGAGCTTGTAGGAAATTAAGCTTTTTGAGATTGGGAGATGTAGTTCTTAGATGGTGATTATTAGGTCCAAATAGCAGCAGTTCTGCATCTGAATTTTTTTACTTCATGAAGTGAATTTCTTTACATATTCAGTAGTTGAAGATTGCTAATCCAAGTGAAGAACGATAATCCATAAATCATTTGTACTTAGGCTTTGATTTCACATTGTTTACACTTTGGAAGTTATCAATTGTCTTTTTATTGGGATTTGAGAGCCTGTGAGGAAAATAGCAGTGGAAATGTCTGTTTCCATGTCAGAAAGAAGCTGTTACTTTCAATTTGTTAGCTTTGGAAGAATGGCTTAAATATTTACAGTGTCTTCTGATTTCTGTGGTTATTTTGTTACCAGAATAGTTAATTGTTGCCAGGTAAATCTCAATTTAAAAACCTGATTTAAATGGCTTCTTTGCTACCATTTGTAGGAAGACCATGAGTATAAGTCTGGGAGAGTGGTGGTTGGGAATCAATTTACATCTTAGTGAGAGAATATTGCAGTAATTATTCCTCTTATTTAGTTGTAAGTACTCAGAAGTTATTGTGAAAGAAACCTATACATTAGACATTTAAAAAGTAAACTTATTTTTAAGAAGATATTTTAATTTTCTACATATGCTCTTTAAAATTGGGTGAAGACTTTCCTTATATTAAAAAACAAACCCCAGGAAACCTAGGATAATTCAGATTTCACTTGAGTGGCTTTTCTTCTGTTGGAAGAGTAGAGAGAAAAGAATATTAGGAGCAGCTCAAGTTTGTCTTAAGTAGCCTACGAAAGTAAATTAAAGTGAAATAAAAAAGATTAGTTCCATCATGGAAGCAGTACTGTAGTGTAAGTAATAGAAGTGTCAGTGTAATTCACAGTTCTTCTTTGAACTGCATTTACTTTTTAGGCCATGAGGGAAACTGAGCTTAGTATCTCATCAGAAAATAATTATTTGTCAACAGTTTAATAGAAAAATGGTTGGGAACATCCTAATGTTTCCTGGCACCCCATTCTAGGATCTGTACTACTGTTTTTGGCATTCATAAGGAAGTTTTCAATATTGAGGTTTTTCTTTATTCCTGTCATTAGACCACAGTTTCATGTAAAGGAGATGTGCATCTAATAGTGACAATTTCTTGGCAATTCATTAAAAAACATTAAAGCAATACTGGTTTTCACAATTGTGATTGGATCAATCTGTTCTCTCATACATTCCTTATTAGAACCAGCATAAAGCAGTAGATCATGTAATTAAGACTGTCAGAAAAATCTGTTCCACATTGGATTGTGTAGAGACTCCTGCGGTAACGGAATCGGTGAAGAGGCTCAGGAGGGCTGTTAATCTCCCAAGGATTAAACATGCTGAGGTAAACTTTCACTCTATAAATTGCATGTTTTAACTGATAAATCTTCTTTCATTCTTTAGTAGCTGGAAATACCAGCAACAGTTTCGTCAGGGTTCTGTTGGGATTTTTTTGGTTGCGTTTTACTTATTTATTTTACTTGACACCTTCCATTTATTTTGACATCTCTCTGCTGTTAATGCATTAATCGCTTGCTTTGGGAATATTTTCCTTTTCTAAATAGTCACTGTTTAAAAACTGGTTTTAAAGTACTGTTTTCTGGTTCTGTAACTAGAAAGTTGTGTCACAGCAGATGCCACTAAATCTGACTGAGGGGAACTGACAGGAGCTCATGCTGTCTAAAATTAATGCAGTTATGCTTTAAAGGAGGAATTGACATCATGTATTTTCCCAGTAGTGTTTGTGACTAGCAATAGCATCTTAAAACTCTTAACTGTTCATGCTCCTGCATTCCTGAGCATAAGGACAAACCCAAAATCTCCCAAACAGCACAGAATTTCATGATGCAACTGCCTTATAATAAATGGTTCACTTGAGCAGGACAGTCTCAAGTCATGTTGTCGAAAACAGTCATTAAGTGGAGAAGTGTGCAAATAAAAAAGCTAAATAACATGCTATTTTCATTGTCCTTATTACAGTGGCAACTCACGTGATGCTCTCTTTGCTTTTAGCTTCATCAGTTCAGTGATATATTTGTAATACTGAGCAGAAGACAGATAAATGTAGTTGTCACAAGTACTAAAATTCTACAGGGAAGTGCAGAAGACATTAAAACAACATCATGAAATACAGCATATAAATATTTTTTTCAGTGTTTATTTTTGATAGGAGAAAGCTGTAGAAATAACTAGATTACAGTCTACAAATAGCTCACAAAAATAACATTGCTCCAGCAGAATTTGAAAAGGGTGGGATTTTATGAATAAAACCCTCTGATTATTTTATGATGGACATTGGCTTACACAGTATTGTGTATGAAGACATGTAGGACTGCTTTCAGAAACAAAAATGCTGTAAATATTGGAGACTGTTGCATTGTAATCTTTGGTAAGATATTATTTGATTTTATTTTTTTCCAAAGTAATTCTTTGTGGTTGGACAAAGTGGGCGTGTTTTTGTAAGAATGTGAAATTTCTTGATATTCAAACTTTTAAGTTGAAGATGCTCAATTAGTACACTAAAAGTGTAAGGAGAGCTTTCATTCTTCTGCAGCACTTGTGGCAAATTTCTTAGGAAGTTACGAATTCACTGGGGTTTGATTTTAAGCCACAAGCTTACTTTTCTTTAAAAATTTTAGTTTTATCAGGACTTGAATTTGGCATGAAACCCTTCCTGATTAGAAGGGAGTAAATTTCCATGATTTGTTTGTCACCTCTTGGTTTCAACATTGTCTTTGTTGAGACTAGACATTGCTGTGATGTTGCAACATGTTGAGACTTCCATTTTAGCAGACCAAGAAGCAAACAAAGATAGTACAAAGTAACAGTCCTTACTGTTCATTTTCTCAGTTGTTTAATGTTTTTTTTATTCAGTAAATTTATAACTGCCAGCAAAAGGTATCTTACCAAATGCCAAAAACAAAAGAAAAAAAAAAAAAAAAAAAAANACAAAAAAAAAAAAAAAAAAAAAAAAAAAAAAAAGCAGCTGTTTAGATTTAGATTACTGGCCAGAAAGCTAATGACCTCTGCTTTCATCCATAACAGCCCTGAGCAAGTTTTGTCTCTACCTAGAGAAGTTAGATTATTCTGAGCAATATTCCAATGTACTGTGTCTTTCTGGACTTCATATAAAAAACGTCAAAGCAGTTGACTTGACAAAAAATGAGCTTTTGAACATGGTGAATAGTTGCTGCATTATATGGAAATTGTGATGCTGTTAACTCTTGAGGAACTTTGAGAGAAAATGTGTTTACATAAACTTAAATATAAGCCTCATTCAGATAGATGATAATTTCTGTAGAAGATACTTAATAGCCATGGAAAATTAATACGGATTTTCAGTATTGAAATTTCCTCTTTCTTTCTGTAGGTATCCTTAAAATGTGGTGATGATAATAGCAAGAGCCCCTCTGGTGAGTAAAGTTCTTAAATTTTTATTCAAAAACTGTTTTGAGGTGGCTAATTTAGAAAGAAATGCATTAAAATAAATTATCATTTAGGTTCACTGAAGCCTTTAAACCCTCTGAAAGTGAGTATAGACCAGTTAACAAGAGCAGTTGAGGCCCTTCTGCAGCTCCACACGAATTCCTGTAGCAGTTCAGCAGCAATTTCTCCAGAAGACAGTAAGAGTACCAAGGAAGCTTGGACTGCCACAGAACATCTCCAATTCACAATATTTGCTGCTCATGGAATTTCTTCTGGTTGGGTGTCAAAGTAAGTGACTTATTGTAAAATTCCCCCTTTTATATATTTTTTAAAATATTTTAATGGTTTTTTTTATGTTTTTTTGTTTAACTTCCTTGTCCAGTTATGAAAAATACTACTTGATTTGTTCTCTGACTCATAATGGAAAAGATCTCTTCAAACCTGTTCAGTCCAAGAAGGTTGGCACATACAAGAACTTCTTCTACTTGATCAAATGGGATGAACTGTAAGTGACTTTAGTCTGTTAAAACTCAATAAAATGCTGTGTTTCATCTAGCTGCTGAATGCAGTCATTCAAGCAACTTGTGGTTCTAATTCCATTTCAAGCATCCAAAAAACAATTTACTGATCAAAATCAGAAATATTTTTCTAAATGGAATTTCAGTACTCATTGTAAAAAGGGGAATGAAAATGCTGGACAAGTGCCCTGTGCTAATGTGTTTGTAGCATACAATTACTGGGACTTGGGAAGGTCATAACATTGCTTGCAATGGGAATGGCTTGTGCTGCTGTAAGAGGGATTAAAGAATAAAGCTTGCTTGTATGTACTGCTAAATTGATGTAAATGGAGAGGAAAAGCAGTGTCTCACTTTTACTAACATGAGTGTTTAATCAGTTTTTATCCCAAATATAGAGGATAGAAAGGAAGAGCATACAGAGAAAAGACAGGGAGATAATGGCAGGTGGTATCTGCTAGCTGAAAGGGGAACATTTTTCAGTATCCCTGCACAGCTTAAGCTCTGCCACTTGAGTTATCAGGCAGCCTGTCATAGCTAAAGCATCATCTGAGCTCCATGGTGCCCTATATCTATTCTCCTGACTGTTTTTAAAGGTCAGAGATAGACCCGAAAGAATTCCCTGAAAGTTTCCGGTGAACAAATTATTTCAGATCAGCATTGAGAGTTTTTAGAACACCTGCCTTCAGAGAGTACTCCAGCTACCTTTTTTTTTCTGGTGATGCATGGGATTAATTGTTAGATCTTTTGCTGGCAAGTACTAGTGTATTACAGTGAAAAGTCTGCTAAAAGCTGCTGACAACAGTGTGGTCCTTTATAGTGCAATTGTTTTAAAGATAAATCAAACTAAAAGAACATTTTTAAGCAGTAAAAACAGTGTAAACAAAAGTGGAAGCTTGAATAGCTCAGTGAAGTGTATACTCCTCAGCTGCTTGCTTTATAGGTTTTGTACCATTTAGAATTCAACTCGCAGTATTTCTTAATAGATTCTTTCATTTGGATGGGGAACTATTGTCTGCTGACCCTTTCAATCTGAAAAATTAGGAGGTGGCTAACATGGAACATTCTGTGTGCCCTTCCTAGTGAGTGGAGTGGGAAAACTGGTTATGCTGGACAGTCAATTCTGTGCAAGGAATGTGATTTATAGACAGAGATTAAAAGGGTTGTTCCACATCTGACTATAGTGCAGAAGTGTAATTAGCAGGTTTTACAAACCATTGGTGTGGGAGATGAAGTAGAGTGAAATATGATTGCATGGATATTTAACACTTGTTCTTAAGTGTTAATTGACTTTTTGAAAGCAAAAGGCATAAATGGATTACATGGATAAGCCTGTAACTTACTAACTGCTGCCTTTTTTCTAACTGACTTATTTTTAATACTTTTATTTTATAGAATAATTTTCCCCATCCAGATTTCACAGTTGCCTTTGGAATCAGTCTTACGTCTGACTTTGTTTGGAATCCTAAATCAAAGTAATGGGAGTTCTCCTGACTCAAATAAGCAGAGAAAGGGCCCAGAAAATTTGGGTCAGGTTTCTCTACCTCTATTTGATTTTAGGAGGTAAGTGTCCAAAACATGGGTAAGATTATCAATATGATTTGCTCTGTCTAGAGCTTCCTCCACACCCATAACTATAGAAATTGCCTCTCTGATACTGAATACAGTAGGCCATGATAAGGGTAGGAACTGTAAACTCTTCTGATACAGAAAAAAAATACATTTCATTAAATAGAGGATAAAATGTGATCTTGTGTTGTAAGATTTCCATCTAACTGGCTAAAAAAACTTCACTGCTGGAGGAAGTTGAATATTGTTTGAATTATTATACCCTAGAATATTCTAAAATTATTCCTTTTGATTCAGAGATGGGTTTATTTAAAACAATTAAAATAAAGAGATAATTAGCCAGTGTGTTAAACTTGAGGCATGTTTCTAGTGTGAACTGGCTTTCCTTCAAATACAGCTTCTGGATGCTATTATATGTTTTTCACAAAGAATGAAAAGCCTGCTGTAAGTTCCCTAAGCTGAGTGTTTCTGGATTGGTTCAAGTTGCTTTGTTCTTCCAAGTTTGATTACGAAGCTCATTCCAAAACACTTATCACTGGGGCAGCTACTCAGTGAGAGATTAACCAGTAGACTTGACCCACAGTGCTCAAATTAGATATCATGGTGCAGAAGTGATCACACCACTGTGAAACAGTTTTTGCATTCATGCTTAAGGTTTCCTCTTTATGTGTGCTGCTGATTTCTAGGTCTTACTGGGAGTTTAAATTGTCAAGCAAGGCTGCAAAAAGGCAGCCAGATCTTTCCTGGCCAGTTGCTGCTGTGTGTTGCTTGTGGCTGTTTCTTATGCTTTGTGTCCTCTGGTTCTGGATTTGACTTTTAATTGTTCTTGTTTCTCTGTTGTCTGGTGATGATTCCAACAGCTTGAGGATGTCACAGAGTTTAGGATTTCCTGCATTGCAAAGGTGGCCTGCAGCTGCTTTCAGTCTCTACCAAAGCCTGGATTTCTTTTCATAAACGATGATTATTTTAGCCTTCTATTTAAATGCTGCATTTCAGTCTCCTATCTAAATACCACATTTCACAGTATTTGAAAATACAGCTTCTGATTTGAATTGCAAATTTATCTTGTTTTCATGGTGTTCTCACAGGAGTTTGGGGTGAAAACTGTGTTTTCTGTTCATGCAGAGCACTACAATGGTATGTGCTGTGCCAGAGCTTACTGAGTGGCCTGTATGTAGAAGCTCTAGAGATGCTTAGTGGTCTAACCCACTTGCAGTCCACACAAATTAAATCCAGACCTAGGTAATTAAAGCTGCTAGTCAAATACTCCAGTTACAATTGAAAATAGCATCAATGGCAGGCAGGAGCTACAACCTGAAACGAACTGAAATATAGGGAGAACAAAACTGGTCATGAATGTGTTTTGGAAGAGAGTCCATGACAAAGTTAGAACTCCTTTTGTTGAAGTGCATGTGGAGTGGCTTAAATCATCATTACATGTGGATGGGACAGAAGGCTGTGGCAACTGTATTAAATGGAGAATTATTAAAAAGAATGAGCTTTTCAGGTGTGCTTTAGTGATACGATATGGTAATCTTTATTGGCATGACAAGCTCCTAGTTAATAAATATTTACATATAACAACCTGTTCTTTATTTGAAATACTTATAAACCCTAAAATGTCTTTCAAAATATACTTAAGGCTTGGACTTCAAGCAGCCTTTTGAGCAACATTTTGATTCCAAAAGACCGATGGAAGTTTTCTGTACTTAACATTCAACACTTTATTGATTTATGAAGTGTCTTCAGTTGTGCCTTACTACAGCTGGAAATGGTATTAATATTGGGAATACACTGGCAAATGGAAATGTCATTTGATATGCCCTTGCAGAATCTGGTAATAGGAGAAGTCCAAGCAAATGGTGATGCCTGTAAGATTCATATGCCTGGGCCTTTTTTCTAGAAGCTAAGAAGAATGTGCATGTGTGTTTGTGTTCAGTTTTTTTCTCAGAGGCAAAAGTACTCCTTTTCTGACTTAAAGAACAGGGAGCACCTAATTAATCTGTATCAACTAAATGAACACTGAACTTTTTCTTTTGCCTTTTCCACCTAAAAGTTGTGTGCATCACTTTAAAGCACTTAAAGAACAGACAACAGCCAGTGAAAATCAGCAAATTAATTTGACAACTAATATCTTGGTGAAGTAATCAGACTGTGATATTAATAACCTGTACGTGTTCTTTTCTCAGATTGTTAACTTGTGGGACGAAACTTTTGCAACTGTGGACATCATCACATCCACATCATGTGTCAGGGGTGGCCAGTAAGAAAGGAAATATGGAAAGAATAGTATTGCAGGTTATACATAGTTCTGTTTTACTCTGTGCTTTGTTTGAATGTTGTGATCTGTAAGTCATATTAGGTGAATGTTTTGGAGAGGGGGAAAGTACAGCTAAGTAATATTTGAAAGTCATTATAGAATAGTGATTACTAAACTGTAAGGGCAAAGAATGGGAAGCTCCTGGAAATGTCTACAAATCTGTTATTAAATAACTGTCTGGAAGTAAGAGAAATCAGAAGTGCTTTGCATGACATGTGGTCAGTACTGGGAGAGAATGTTTTTGAAAGCAATCCTTAGAAATGTGCTGAGATGGGAGTTGTCTGGACACAAGCAGTAGCAACTCCAGCTCCTTTACAGAACATAAGTACCTCTCTTTCTCAATTCAGTTTTCTCTCCAATGAGAGGATGCCTTACTAGGCATGGCTCAGCAGTCCCAAAACATAGCCTGAGTGGGTGGCTGGGTGGAAACCACTGGTGTGGGTTTGAACAGCTCTGTGATTATCTTTGCTCCAAGCATTCTCACTTCTCTGCTGAGGAGTGCTCCAGCCACTGCATTGTGCAATAACACAGCTGTACATTTAGGAGCTGTCGTCATGTAGAAGAATTGAGATGGAAAAAAATACTCAGCAAGCAGTATCTGGGGACTGTTGCACTTGTAGAACTGAAGAGTTCAGATTCCTAAACATCTGAGATTGCTGGAAGGGTGAGAGCTGTCTCTACTTAAGGACTTACATCATCTTTTATCTTTTTTCTTTTTTTTTTTTTCAGATTGACTTCCCATCCCATGCTTTTGATATTGAATATAAAATTCCTCAAGCTGCAAAGACTACTGTGCATCATTCTGTAGAAACATTAGAAAAACCAGTGAGAGAACGTCTCCTTGCCATTCTCTCCAAGGACAGCACCATTGGGTACGTCCATCTTTCCAGCTGGGCTCTTTTTGCATGTGACAATTTTGTAACTAGGGCATGGAATGCTTACATACTCTTAAGTTTCTGTAATTCTTTTAAAAATGTATCTTGAAGACCTATAGGGACTTAAACAAGAGATTGAATTAAGCATGTGAAATCATTATACTTAATGAGTTTCCTTCTGTTTTATTTGGCTGGTGCTATTAGTTTCTTGCTACAAGATTGCTGTCCCTTTGCCTGCCTGTTATATTCACCTGTTCCTGCTTGGCAGTTTTTCAGTTCTAGGGAGTTCCAGCAGTGGAGGTTCATGTGCCATGGGAGCTTTTCTGGCAGCCTCTCGTACTCATCTGCACCAAACAAACATTGATGATTTTGGTTTATTTCAGATTATACTTAAACTTAATTTTGTCCTGCCCAAATTATAAATTTGAACAAATGTTTCCTTAATGTTTGAGGCTTTATTTGGCTTTTCGTTTTGACTTTCCTGGAGGAAAGAGTAATTTCAATGTCATTCTATTCTATGTGTTAAATTATATGTCTGAATACAACAGTCAGTGCACTGGAGTTATTCAGGTGATGGTTTGTCATGTATAAACTGAATGTATAAACAGCATTATAAACTGAAATGCTTTTGTCTGCAGGCTGTCAAAAGAAGATAAAGAATTTTTGTGGGAGAAGAGACATTATTGTCATAGCCATCCTAATAGCCTACCAAAAATACTGGTTAGTGCCCCTCACTGGGACTGGGCAAGTCTTCCAGAAATATATTCATTACTTCAGAGCTGGCCTCCTTTATCACCCTTAGCTGCCCTGGAACTACTTGATTCAAAGTAAGAAAACTGCAAATAGACTCTCTTGTGTTTTGTTCAACATTAAATTGTTCTTCTTTGGTAGAAGATTCTGGAATGGTGTTCTGTGGGAAAGTACTGCTGAATTTCTGCAGAAAAAATTAAATGTTTTAAAAATTTTAAAGAACCCCATGCTTACTTTATTGATGTAGGCTTAACCAAGTCATGTAGCGAAAGCACAGCAACTGTGGTTAGGGTTCTGAAGTTTAACATGCAGCAGGACAGGAATTAATACAGCCAGAGTTTTGAGAGGTTTTGAGTGTGCTTGTCCTAAATATGCACATGTGGTTGCATCTTATGTGATGAAGGGACTTGTTAGGTCCCTTATTGAGCTTTTAAAGACTTTGTATGGTTGCTTTTCTATCTAGCTGATCTCAAAAAAAGAATAAGAAAAAAATACTACATGAACAGAGAAAACTTGATGTGGATTTGTGGTGATTTTCTAGGTTTGCTGATCAGGAAGTACGAAATACAGCTGTGAACTGGATAGAGACATTGAGTGATGATGAGTTAACAGATTTCCTCCCTCAGTTTGTACAGGTAAGACTTTCAGCCTACACGGAAGTTGGAATTTTTCTGGCTCTTGAAAACCCAGAGGAATTGCTTCTGACTAGTAGCAAAAATGCAGTTGTGTGCCTATAACTGTAATGCACAGTAGGGGAAACAATTTGAATAAATAACCACTTTGTGACCATCAGAAGTATTCATGGTAACTCTGTGTGTGCATTAGTCACAAAATATATCTTCATCAAGAATTAAATGCAGACCTGATTTATGTAATTTCCATTTTATTTAGGCATTGAAGTATGAAACCTACCTTGACAGTGCTCTTGTGAAATTTCTTTTGGCTCGGGCACTGGGAAGCATTCGGATTGCACACTACCTGTACTGGTGAGGGTTTCTTTGTTCCATTTCTTATGTACTGTGTGTGCCACCAGATTAATATTTCAGATAAAAAAAATCCTCCTTAACATCACCATTCAATAACATAACAATGACTGGGATGAATGGTGATTATACAGAGTGTAGATCCTGGTTGTTGGTTAGGTTATTTTAATGAAAGATAGTGCCTCTACAAAGCACAAATTTCTTGTCTTTTCTATTCTGTCTATCAGTAACTTCAGACATATGTATTTTAGCATCTTAATATTGCATTGTTTGCTGTATTTTCCATAGGAAAATTTAACTTATATCTTTTATTTCAGGCTTCTTAAGGATACACTGTATGATACAAAGTTTGGTGTAAGGTATGAGCAAATTCTTGGAGCTTTTCTTTCAGTCTGTGGAAAAAGGCTCAGGGAAGAACTGGAGAAGCAGACCCGGCTAGTGCAGCTCTTTGGAATGGTAGCAGAAAGAGTAAAGCAAACAAGTGGATCTGCTCGGCAGGTGTGTATATTACTTTAATTTAAAACTAATCCACTTAATTGTCTTTTTAGTCTAAATTCAAAAGGTTATGTAAATGTATAGGAAGTTTTATGAACCCATTGCTTTGCAAAGTTTAATGAAGCTGATGCTTTTGTCAAGTTTGTCACCTGAAATGTGGTGGTGAGGTGATAGGGCAAGAAGGTATAGGATGGTTTCTGTATATGATCAACTGGAAATTAATTTAAACCTATTACTGCTGAAGAATTATCTCATCATGCAAAAGAATGGGATATCTGTTTTTGTGCTGATGATAGAACTTGATGGAGTGGGATGCTGTCATCAGGTTCAGTCAAAAAAAACCCCACAAACATGTGTGATGAGTGTTACATTGCTAGGCTTAGGTATTTTTCAGAGCTTAGCCAGCAGCTCTAGTTTCTAGCATTCCTTTGACATTGAGGAGTTAAAATAGTGCCTTAAGGGTAACTTTGTCCAGAAGCTTTCTGTAGATGCTTCAAAATGTCAGCTGAATTTTCTTTTTGTCTGCAGGTTGCCTTGACAAATGGCATGGAGCGTGTGCAGTTATTCTTCTTGAAGAACAAATGCCGTTTGCCTCTCAATCCCAGTCTTGTGGCAAAGGAGCTAAATATTAAGGTACTACACCTGAAGGGTTTCAAAACCTTTTTGTAAAACTTACGTCTAGGTAAAGCTTTTACAAATGGAAAAAAAAAACACTTCAAGTGCTTGAAAGCTATTTATACTGTGGAGATGGGGATTAATCAAAAATGCTAATGGAATAAAGCAGCAAAATTCAGTGAGCAAAGATAAAATGTGTACAAATACAGTGTAAAACCAAGGGCGCTTGTGTTAAAAAATAGATATATATCTGTAATAACTTACTACATCATCAGACCCTGTCTCCCGAGACCAGCAATCCTGAAAGTGCATGAAAAAGTCCTGTGTGCTTTAGTAATCAAAAGAGGAAATTGACCAAGAATATAAAGTTCAAGCAGTGAGTAAATACTGTCAAACACTTGAAACTACCTGATACTGATTGTGTCCAGATACGCTGGGGAGGTAGGCAGTAGCTTTATTTTACTGTGAAGTTCCGGCAAGTAATAATGTAGGAGAAGCAGGTTCATTATTTTTCCAGAACTTTGCAAGGTTTGACAATATCTGCTCAACCACGGTCTTGATTATATAATCATGCATGACTGAAAACCTAAAGGTTTGTTAATGCTTGAACTAATCCTGTGTTTGAGAGCTCATCTCACTTTCCTTCACTATTGTAACTGTTATATCATGAGCAGGGACTTGAAAGCAGATAAATGAGAAGATACTGTGAAACACACAAATACGCATTTTTAATACATCTAGGTTTCAAGAAAAAGCTGCTGATAAAATATTTATTAATGTTTTATTCACTCTTCCCTTCAGAATGTTTGAAACATCACTGTGCAGCACTGTTGGCTTTTGTACAAGAATTCAACAAATAACAGCCAAAGGGCTTGTTATTCAAAGGAAGCACGTATTCACCACAATTGAAATTTGAAATGTTTAAAGTCTGAATAGACACATTGTGTGTCAAACCTGCTTGCTGTCAGAATGTCTTGTTTTCTGGACTAGCAGGAATAGTCCTTTCTGCCCATTGACACTAAATCTACTTGCAGGCCTGTTCTTTCTTCAGCTCCAATGCAGTACCACTGAAAGTTGCACTGATAAATGCTGACCCCCTGGGAGAAGAAATTAATGTGATGTTTAAGGTAGGCCTTACATGTGTTTTGGAGAAAAGAAGTTGAATGATAATCACTGTTTCATTGGTATAAATTAATTTTAGCATAGACCAATAAGCTTAGTTATTCCGTGAGTTTGCTCCTTTGTATCTGGAAAGCAACATGTAAAACATAAAAATAAAACATAAAAATCCACCACATGTGAAAGTTGAATTGTAGTCTGTTTCTCTTTGAAGTTTACTGTGTCACTGGTTAACTTTTATTTTTCTATTTAAGGTTGGAGAAGATCTGAGGCAAGATATGTTGGCTTTACAAATGATTAAGATCATGGACAAGATCTGGCTGCAGGAGGGACTGGATCTAAGGATGGTTATCTTCAAGTGTCTCTCAACAGGAAAAGACCGAGGTGCTAAACCAGATGCTGCCTTTAATCTTTGCTTCCCCTCTTCAATTTCTTGTCACACTGATGTTGAAAAACCTCTGGGCAGATGGTGCCAAGGAACAGTTCCACTGCAAGGCACTTCAGTACTTGACAGTATAATAAGTTAGATTGTTCTGAATTTCCTGATGGCTGAGTGGCATCCAAATGTGTTTGTTCTCTTGAGTGTTCTGTTGTCAGTGAACAATGGGACAAATACAGTGATAAAAATCAAGGTTGATTTTCATGCTCGTAGTGCAACACAGGAAAATAATGTTGCTACAGCAATTCTTATTCTGAAAGTTTAATTATGGTGAAAGTATTCCAATGCAAACCGAAATGGTGAAGTATTTGGAATCTGCTGCAGTTGAGTCAGGGAGTATCATAATGGTACTGAAACATGTGAAAATAAGAAAAATTTGAACCAGCCCTTGACATACACACACACTGTCCCCCAGAATTTGTGTCATATTCTGGTGAAAGTTCCTTGGCAATATGAAGCTGTCTCTGGGGTTTGAAAGTAGGTCACAGAGCGCTGAGTGCAAATACTGTGCCCTGCACCTTGAGCATGCTTTTTGCTAGTTTTAGCTAATTCTGTAGAGCTTGCCAATGGAACCCAAATATATTTAAGAGGATAAACAATAACTGAAATATATCTTTAGTCAGATGAACAGCATGACCAAAACTCTTAAATACATGGAAAAGATGGACATTTAGTTTGGCAAAACTAGGCAAAAAGCTTCTATTTATGTAAGACTGGCTTTTTAGAGAAACAGATGGCTTTTCCTCCTACTCTGAATGATGACTTGATTTATGTAGCTTTTTTTTTCTTGCTGCTAATATTAGTGTCCTTAAAGATTGAAGGGGAAAAGTCAAATGGATGTAAATTACAGATGCACCTTTATTAGCTCTTGCCAAAATAGAAGTAAAACTCAGTTAATCAACTAAATGTTTTCCTTCTATGATTTAGCTGTACAAATATTTTTAGTAAATTATATCTCCAAAGTAAGGCCACATATAAAGCCCACTGTCTGGTCTGTCTCAACACTGACAGCAGATAAAGTTACTAGATTAATTCACTGTTAGTGTGTGGGAATTGTCAGCATCAAAGTATTTTGCCAAATTTAGAGTAAAAGAAGTTTATGAGGTAGAAACTAACTATTCAAAGTTTAACTTAAGTGTGCATTCTAGCAACTGTAACAAGTTGTAGTAAAGTAAGCTAAGTTGCATTGGTACTTGTTTTATGATTTACTTTGTAATACAGAAATGGAAAGTGGAAATGGAAGAGGAAATGCTTAGAGGACTAAAAGAATTATTTTTACACCTGACCAGGTTTTCAAGGAGGTTGATCTAATACTGTAAGATTCACCATTGATAGGAATGAATAAGAAAAATGCAGCATAACTTAAAGGAGGTGGCTAAATACACTTTATTCTATATCCAGGCATGGTAGAGCTTGTTCCTGCTTCAGACACACTTAGGAAAATTCAAGTGGAATATGGAGTGACAGGTTCTTTTAAAGACAAGCCTCTGGCTGAATGGTTGCGGAAGTATAATCCTACAGAGGAAGAGTATGAAAAGGTAACTTTTCAGCACTGTTTTTTTGGGGGGTTTTTTTGGTTTTTTTTTTTTTTTTTTAGATCTTTTAAAAGGGCTAAGTACAATCTGATGAAAGAATGAAATTCATATTCCAGGTCTTCCACTGAAATTTTTGGTTTGTGTATTTAAGAAACTTAATTTTTTTTCTATACTTGAAAAAGAGCAAATTAAAATCTCCCTATAAAAAGGAGCCAGATGGATTCTCAAGATTCTCATTAAGAGTTTTTATTGGATATAGAAAAAATGTCCTTTAAGACAGGGGAATAGTGGTTGCTCTTAATTGTAGTTTAGGAGCAGTGGCCTTTTCTTGTACGCATGCAATTCAAAAATTAAAATGTTTTATTGGGCTTTAATGCCATTACAATACATTGCAAATACAAGTCTTGTATTTTTCTTCGCTAACATTGTTTTGTGATATGTTTTCAACTCCTCTTTTCTCTTTGATTTATGTAAAAAACAAAATAACCATTTTTGCTGGAAAGTGGGATGCCAAGAGATTTTGGCAAAGCCTAACTGTTTGAAGAACACTATTTGAGGAAAAAAAATAGCAAATTTAGGGTCTGCTTTTTTGCCTGGGTTGGATTTTGCACTCATAGAAACCTACTGTTGAATACATGAATTATGTTTTTCCTCTGATATTTGATCTCAATTCACTTCTTTTCTCTCCCTCCCAGGCTTCAGAAAACTTCATCTACTCTTGTGCAGGATGCTGTGTAGCCACTTATGTCCTGGGAATCTGTGACCGCCACAATGATAACATAATGCTCCGGAACACCGGGCATATGTTCCACATTGACTTTGGAAAGTTTTTGGGACATGCACAAATGTTTGGTAGCTTTAAAAGGTATTTTCTGTACCTAAGCAGTGTAGAGAATTAAGTGATTTTCTTTCCAAGTGTTGCTCTGGGAGATCTGCTGTAGGTCCGGTACCATGTGAATGTGCTGTGTAACCTGGGCCAGCACCTGGGAGAGGAACCCATCCCAAACATGTGAAATGACATTAATGGAATATTTAATATCATGACCTTAGGGTGGGGATGGAGGGCAGCAGGAAGCACATGACAACGAAGAGACCTTGGTAATGAACTCGTGAATTCTGTGCTTTTTGAACAGGGATCGAGCCCCTTTTGTGCTGACATCAGATATGGCTTATGTCATTAATGGTGGAGAAAAGCCCACAATTCGCTTTCAGCTGTTTGTGGATCTCTGTTGCCAAGCTTACAACTTGATAAGGAAACATGCCAGCCTCTTCCTTAACCTGCTTTCATTGGTAATCATTTTTCACATTCAGTTGAAACTTGATAGATCTGTCATGCTGGGTTGTATTAAAAACTATGCTTTTTATGCTGCAGGAATTCATAATGCAGGCTTTTTTTAAAAGCCAGAAACATATTGTCTACTTTTTGGGAAAGCTTCATTTGGAAACTTTTACGCTTTTTTACCGCCTACCTCTTCCTTGAAAATTTAAAACTAATATACTACCACAAATGGCACTGCAAAGAGTTTTTAGCCGCTTTTAATTCAGCAGAAATAGTGAATAACAGCTGCTTATATTGGTGTCTATTGCTGTTAGTATTAAGCAAATTAGTGCAGCTACAAATTAATTTGAAGGTCAAAGTCTTAATCATTTCAGTATAAAATCATATTTGGTTTATTGAATTAAAATTCAATTTCAATTTCTTGTAGATGCTTTCTTCTGGGCTACCAGAACTAAGTGGAGTTCAGGACTTGAAGTATGTCCAGGATGCCCTCCAGCCCCAAACAACAGATGCAGAAGCCACCATTTTCTTTACGAGGTACTGGATTAGGGAAAACTAAAATATCTGCCAGTATCATCCTCTTAATGGGAGATTTCTGTTAGGAAAAAACATACTAGGGATGGTCACAAACGTGTCTGTACAAGTTGAACAGTTGCACCTCACAGGAGAGGTGTTCATCCTTCTGATAATTTCTGTGGCCCTCCTCTGGACCTGCTCCAACAGGTCCATGTCTTGCTAGGGCTCCAGAGTTGGATGCATGCCTTCATGACTTCACTAAAAACCTATTCCACATTTGGATGCTGAGTCTTCTATTAAATGTTGATATGATACTATTTATATATCCCAGTGATCACTCTTAGAAATCTTTTCTTTGTCAGTAAGAAATAGGGTTTAATTTTCTTCAGCTTGAGTCTGATGCATTGACAGAACCACTTTTGTGTGTTTTGATGTTTTCTTTTCCTAGGCTGATCGAATCCAGTCTGGGGAGTGTTGCCACAAAGTTCAATTTCTTCATTCACAACTTGGCTCAGCTGCGTTTCTCAGGTCTGCCTTCTAATGATGAGCCCATCCTGTCATTTTCTGCTAAAACGTATTCTCTCAAACAAGACGGCCGAATCAAACAAGTGTCTGTGTTTACGTATCAGAAAAGATACAACCCAGATAAACACTATGTAAGTACGTGGGAGCTGCTTCCACTCAGGGAGGATAATGGTGTATTTTTCTTCCAACAAGACACAGGGAAGGGACAGGGCCAGCTGATCAAAACCAGCCATGGGGGTATTCCACAGTGTGTAATATCACTGTCAGCAATAAAAAGCGGGCGTAGAGGAAGAAAGCAGGAGATGGAAGAGCCTTGTCTTCCAAGGTGGCTGTTTGGGAGCTGGCTGAGCATGGATCTGATCTGCCTGTGGGCTGTGGTGATTGCCTTGCATCACCTTCTCTCCCCAGAAGTGTCTTTGTCTCAGCCCACAGATCTTCTCACTCCTGCTCTTGTTCTCCCCACCGTCCCACTGGCGAGGGGGTGGGACTGAGCAAGCAGCTGTGTGGGTGCTGAGCTGCTGGCCAGGGTAAACCAGCAACAGCACTGCTAGAGTACAGACTGGCATTTCTAGCATCCCATAATATCCTTCAAAATGAAAACACATCTTGAAAAGCATCTAGAAGGAAGTAGAAAGGGCAGAAGTAGTGTTGGTGGAGATTATTTTAAAATACAGAAATTTGAGTCATGTTGATGGGCTTTTATATAGCTGCCTTCTGTAAAATGGCTCCTTCCTGAGTAGGAGTTGTAAAATCAGACACTCTGGTGTTAGTCTGACCTTCTACTGAAGTTTGATTTGTTCCTCCTAAGTAAAGGCATTGTTTCCTGTACTAATGCAGTTACACTCTTAGCCTTACTAGATACACCAACCATTGCAATTTTGCCCTCAGGATTTTAATAGACCTAGTTTACACTTTGAGATGTAAATGTACATATCTTTCCATGCTGTGTTTGCTGTAAATGTCTTAATCTGGAAAGACACCAGCAAGGGAAGACAGAACAATTCTGACTAATGCTGGAGGTGATGAGCTTTGTACTGAATCACTGTATAATTAAATGTATTTGAGTATTCTAGTCTAAGTCAAAACAGCCTCGCTTCTTCCAGGAAACTGTTAGGATGGTCTAGATTCTGTCTAGATTAAGTTAAATTATATGTTAAAAGTTTAACTTCTCTACCCATAAAATGAGGACACTGAACTGAATTTTCTGTGCAGCTCTCAAACTTCATTTCCCTTGAATAATGTGAATGTATCCTGTGACTGTACTCGCAATACTTTGAAAAATTATTTTTGTATAATCCAGTGCACTTGCATCCTCCCACCAAATTATCACTTTAAAAGTGGAATCCTTTAGAATCAGGAGGAATTAAATTGTAAAAAATACACCTGAAAGGTTCTGTGGTAGTTCTGGCCCCACAAATCCATGTCTCAATGTAATCCTGCACCAGTGTTAACATTTTATATACCTGGTATAAGCTGCCAATGAGGCTTCAAAGGGAGAGTGTGCACAGCTCAGCCTTCATCATCATCCTTCATCTGTCAGCTTTGGATCTACCTTATGGGAAGAGCATGTGATGTTCCTTTGCATTAAGGGCTACTTATAATTCTAACTACAATGAAATGCCAGTGTTGGAATAAGGGATATAATAATGGGATATGTATTCAGGAGAAGGATTACTATAGGAGAAAGAGTTGATTGTAAAGAAAATTATATTGTAAAGTCATTTTATAATGTTTTTATATCAACTACTTTTATTTTTGTGTTTTGGGCAGATCTATGTAGTGAGAGTTTTGAGAGAAGGGCAAGTTGAGCCAACATTTGTCTTCCGAACATTTGATGAGTTCCAGGAGCTCCACAACAAACTTGGCATTCTCTTTCCTCTTTGGAAGTTACCAGGGTATGTTCCTCACTCATCCCTATTACCAAAGCAACAAAACTGCTCCCAGCTGGGTGGAGACGAAACTGCTGAGGGGCAAACTAGACCTCAAATTTGGCAATTAAGGGAGAAAACAGTTGTCTCTCAGTTTTAAGGAGGAGATCCAGAGGAGCATCTCAGTGTTGTGATCTGTGTGTCATATCACATATAATAATATACCTATAAATATTTCCTTGCCTTTCTGGAGTGTCATAGCTATTGGCATGCTGTGTTTCTACTCTGGATTGATAATAATAAAACAAAAAAACCAACAGATGTCAGCACTTCAGGATGGAAATTACAATGGAATCCTACTGTACGTGCTTCTGATAAAGTAACTGAAAACTCTGTGTTGTTCTTCTCATGTAGCTTTCCTAATAAGATGGTTCTGGGAAGAACACATATCAAAGATGTAGCAGCCAAAAGAAAAGTGGAGCTCAACAGCTACATACAGAGCCTGATGAACAGTTCTCCAGAGGTGGCAGAAGTGAGTACACATAATTTAAATCAAATGCAAGTTTCCAAGTTTTGGCACTTTTTAATGCTTAAACTAACATGTAACATTTCTTCCAAATTTAGTGTGATCTTGTTTATACTTTTTTCCATCCATTACTTCGTGATGACAAAGTGGAAGGAATAGATGGAATAGCCAGACCTGCAGGTAAGGGATGTTTGTGAATTGGATGATATAGTATGACACATTTACAGTGTGAATTTTTGAAATGTTTTTTACTCACCTGGAGTTTTCTCTCATTGAAAACTGCATCACTGTCTTTCCAACTGTGCCTACATACAATTTCAAGGACATATATACCAAAAATTGCAAAAATGTGTGTGATGACTTGGGCTTGTTTATGTCTTGACTGAATTATTCATGTTTTCACTCCAAACCTCCAAGCTGGTTCTTGCAAGAGAATGCAAAAACCTTTAAAGCCTGTAGCCTTTCCCCTGTTAGAGAACTTGAAATAAAATCAGGAAGTGAACTTGGTCTAAGGCTTGTATTTTTTCCCATATGTGATAAGTCAGTGTAGTAGTGATAAAAACGTACCAGTATCACAGAAGCAATAATTGTCTGTTATTTCAGATACAAGTCCATCAAGTCCTACCTCAGGCAAAGTGGGAGGAGAAGTGAAGCTCTCCATATCCTATCGAAATAGCACTCTGTTTGTCATGGTGATGCACATCAAAGACCTGGTAAGTGGAGATACTGCACTTACTGCCAAAAACTTGCCATTTTCTCAATTACCATCTTGTCTTAGATTGATGCAGAAATGGTGAAACTCTCTCTTTTCTTCTAAATTTTCCAACTGCCTGCTTAATTAACTGCTGCTTTTGATTAGCTTGATTGCAGAGTCTGCACACTTGAAAATAAATATGCAGTTATGCACTAATTAGTTTTCTGACTTGTCTTGTTTCTTTGGCTGTAGGTTACAGAAGATGGTGCAGATCCAAATCCCTATGTGAAAACCTATTTACTTCCAGACACGCACAAAACATCCAAACGCAAAACCAAAATCTCCCGGAAGACAAGAAACCCCACTTTCAATGAAATGGCAAGTTAAAATTTATGTGATAACTTCCTATAGCTTACTATAATCTCTTATTCTAAGCAGTAATTAAAATGTTGTCTAAAAAAAATATGTGAATATGTATAAATGGAAAAGGAACTGTTTCCAAAAACCTTGTGCCCTGTTTAAATATAAAGCAACTTAGTGGTTCAGTGTACTATTACAAGGAAGCAGAAATGTCTCACAGACTGAGTGTGAGGAGGGATGGGGAGAAGGTAAGGAATCTTAAACTAAAACTGCCCTTGCCCTGGATTTACTGACTGATGTTGTGGAGAAAAATGAATTCAGAAGTCCTGGTGTGTAAATAGGACTTCACTAGTTTTAAACAGTTAACATTTGGAGCCCAAAATAAAACAGGGATGTCCTTCAGCCCATTCTGTGAGAAAGGGATGTGCTGAATGGTCACAGTGTGTAGTTCAGACATCTGTCAGTGGCTGGGCAGGCAGAAGAAAGGGCAGTCTGGGTAATTTCTTCTGGCTAACCAGAAAATTCTTGACTTCTCGCTTCCTAGCTGGTGTACAGCGGATACAGCATGGAGACTCTGAAACAGAGGGAGCTCCAGTTAAGCGTGCTGAGCGCAGAATCGTTACGTGAGAACTTCTTCCTAGGTGGAATTACACTCCCACTAAAGGACTTCAACTTGAGCAAGGAGACTGTTAACTGGTATCGACTGACTGCTGTACCCTATCTGTGAACTCAGTAGACCAGAACAGTTGTATTCACTTGTGCTTTGTGCATCTTCCTACTTGAAGATAACCTGTACATCCTAAAACAAGAGACTCCATTTCAACAGATATGTTGGACCAATGTTCAGGTAGCCTAATTTGGAGGATTGCAAAAAAAACTGGTTTATACCCATGTGATGTTATCAAAGGCTTGTTTGTAAACCTTTAAGTGTTGTGGGTAAAGGAAGGGGTTTTTAAACCATCAGTGAAAGTGAGATGAGCAGTTTGACCATACTGGTTGGTTGAACCATAACTCAATCATTAGGCCTGTGGATGCAGTGCATTTTTGCTTTTAATTTGTTGCCTCTGTTGTGTCATCCATGACACAGTGCTGGAGAACATCAAAGAAATTGCATATTTTAAGATTACATTCCCACTGCTAACGAGACATCACAGAAACAGTGACAGGTAAAATATTGGTGTCTGCACACACACCTGTAGAAATGAAGGTTGAAGGGCTGGAAAAATTCCTTAAACACATTTAATTCCAGATTCATATTTCTCTGAGACTTATTGGAGTGAGTGCCAATAGTGAAGTTGTAAATAATGGTGCCTTATAATTCAAATGCTTCTCTTTTACCTCATTTCTGGTATTTAAATATGTATACATATTAACTTTCAGCTCCTTATAAGGGGGGAACATTCTCATATTTGATACCTTGCAGGTCCTACTGGAAGCCTTTCCCCAGAATGTGTTATTTACAAATAGCATGACTTTAACTGATCTTCACAATTTGTTCAACTGAAATAATTTTTCCTACTCCCATCTTCTACCCATGGTCTCCAAAAATTGAACGAAGACTGGCTGTATGTGGTACTGTAGGAAATGTACCCAGCTTCTCAGTGGGGATTTTTGTTGTACTTTCTAGAACTTTTCAATACTGCAGTGATTAAGTGTGGAACAGATTTAAACACTAATCCTAAGTGGCATTTGCATCTGTGCTTCCAGGGAAAGGGTGGCCTCTAGTTGAAAAGCACCACTGCTGGCTGATTGCAGGCTGGAAATTAGTTCATATCAATAGCTTTGAGAGAGGAGCATGGCTGGTTTTTATTTTTCCTTCAGCAGTTCACAGCAGTACTGTTTCTCACTCCCAATAAGAGCTATTCCCACTAAAATTCTTCATTCCAAGGAACATTAGATTTGAATATATTGTGACAGTGGAGTGCAAATGTCACTATCTCCCGTTAATACCACTGGTTACTTAAATTAGACCTTTCTGCACTACAGGTGTCACCTTTTTATTCACCTTATTTGGGATTTAGGATGCTCATGTTCTGTGTAAACAAAGCTCTAAAGTTGCACACTTCTTTAGTACAAAATCGTAAAGCAAACTTTTAAAGTGAAATATGCAACTATGAATGAGGACACAATACAGGGAAAGCCTTCTATCTACCCAACACTAAAACCCATTTTATAATCCAATTGTCCTTCCCCTGCTACTGACCAATCTCCCTTCAATACAGAAGAGAGAAGTAAACTTGAATCTCCTGGTGCCTAAACGATTCACGGTCCAATTTCATAGGAATTACTGCAATTAAAAAGCTAATGATAGCTTGAATGTTAGAAACTGGGCCAATACTAATGGGCGCTAATAAATCACAGTTGTAGTAGGCATCCTTTGCATATTTTTCATTTAGTATATAGCCTGTAAATAATAAACAATATAACTAAGTAGATATATTTCCTGCTCACTTGTTGCTTTTGAGACTTACTCCATTCCATCATTAGAATCACAAGTCACTTAAACACAGGAAAGTAGACTACTGTTTTTGTGAAACGTTCCATTGTGAAATAAAATGAAAGCAATATGGACTGCCTTTTTTGCAGTTTGCTATTAAAGCACAGTGTCTTACAGCACAAAATACAATTAAACTAAGATCATTTAAAAATTATTTGCAGTTTTAGCAGTTGTCTGGACTGAAGAAAAAAAAAGTATAGTACTGTATTATTGTTAGCACATGTCCTGACTTCTGATTTAATCTTCTTCATAGCTTAACTCATTTTGTGCCTTTCCCTTCCTTTTCAAAATTGTCACTGGCTGGAGCTTTTTTTATGGTCATGGATTTTATGTTGTCTATGGGATCTATCCTTGGCCTCTCCTCACGTGTAGAGGACCAGCACCAAGTTTGCACCTCTTTGCACTATTCTCAGTTACAAAAAAGCTGATTGTTGCAATAAGAATTTTACTGTGCTACATAGAAAAACCAAGATGGATGTGAAAGAGGGAAATAAATTTGATTGGGACAGAATTTACCAGTATGCTAAGTAGCTTGAAAATGTAGTTTTAACAGCTTTTTATATCTTGTTTAATGAAAAAGAAAAAAAAATTCTTTTATGCACCGTTTGACCTGCAGCCAGAAGTGTAATTGTCCCTCCAGACCTTGTGTTGGTATCCGAGAGCAGCAGCTTGCGCTAGGACTTCTTCCTCTACTAACCTCCAACTTTGCACTGAACTTTTTATTACTGCCTTTCTACGACAGCTGCCTGGACGCATGTGCGATCTTTGGTAAACGCTCTTTTCTCTATTTTTACAACTGTCGGGTTGTGTAGAACCGCCGGCACCCGCCTTAAGGCCGGGGCTCCCCCGGGGCCCGCCGGGCACTCGCTGGGGGGGCCGGCGGGCAGCGAGAGCGGGGCGCCTCCCTGAGAACCAAATACTTTCATTAAACCACAATAAAGATGTACAATGTGGCCCCGCGTCGGGCGCGTTCGCTGTGACTCCGTAACCCCTGTACGTGCATTAAACACTATTCTGGAATAAACCCCACGCCTGGCGGCTCTGTGAGGGAAAGGGCCGGGGGGGGGGGGGGGCTGGGGGGGGGGGGGGGGGGTGGCTGAGGGGGCGCGCGCGCGCGGCGCGGGCGCCGTTGATTGGCTGCCGCGGGCAGGGGGCGGGGCCGGGGCGGGGCCGGCGCTTCCTGCGGAAGCGCGCGGGCGGGGCCGCTCCTTCTGGGCGCTCCGCCGTGCCGCCATCATGGGCCGCATGCACGCTCCGGGGTGAGCGCCGGGGCCGCGCCGGGGGGCGGCCCGGGGCTGCCGAGCGGGGGCCGGGAGGCACCGCCAGCCGGGCCGGGCCGGGAGCCATGCTGCGGGAGCGCCGCTGCGGGAGCGCTCCGGCGCGCGGGGGGTGGCGGGGGAGGCGGCCGGCCGTGTGGACATGGCGGCGGGGTGGGGAAGGCGCGGCCGAGGGGCGCTGAGTGTCTGATGTGCTTCTCCCCGCAGAAAGGGCCTGTCCCAGTCGGCCTTGCCCTACAGGCGCAGCGTGCCCACGGTGAGTACCTTCCCCAGAGCCTTCCTCAGAATCCTCCCCAAAACTTTCCCCAGAACCTTCCCCAGAACCCTCCGCAGAGCCTTCCCTTGCCCGGGACCCGCAGCGCAGCTCGCAGTGCCCACGGAGGCGAACAAAACGAGATCTGGAGTGTTTCGCGTCATCGCTTTCAAATTGTGGCCTGTGAAAATGGTTCCTTGGCATGTGATGGAGCAGGCTTCCTGCAGAGGTCGTGGCGTCTGCCTCTGTGGAAGCATTCGAAACCCACCTGGCTGCGCTCCTCTATAATTTGCTCTAGATAACCCTGCCCTGGGGAGGGGTTGGATTAGATGATCTCCAGAAGTCCCTCGACCCTAAAAATTCCGTAATTCTGATATGATCCTTAGGATACTAAGGAAGCAAGCGTTTTTTCCTAGCCAGATGGTTCATTTGGCAAAGAAGTCCCTTTTCATCTTCTATTTAAGTATTTCTTCCGATACTTTGAGTCTGTAGGCTGGGTAATTCCTGGAGATTAAATTATTGTTTTCAGACTTGAGTTTGCAGTTACGGAATAAATAGATTGCCTTCAAAAATACAACCAGTTTGTAGGTCGGGGGACTAAAAGGTAGTTCCGGTGGGCTCTTAGTTCTTTCAAGGGTACTTCCACTTTAAAAGGCTGTCTCTGTCCTCCTTTGCAAGATTATTTCTTGGAAGATCTCTTTGTTGGCAGAAAGAACAATTTGTGGTGCATGTGGAAAACCATGGAGTAAAAAATAGTGATATGAGAACATAAACACAAAATCTGTAATTAAATAGATGCAATTAAAAATAAAGTAATATGAACTTGCTTTCAGTCCTACTAATGGTTAAACATACCTGTTAGGATGATAAAATACTATATTGGTTTTAAAAAAATCCTGTGGGGATTTTTTTGCTTAGTTTTATTTATATTTTGTCTTAAATGGTAATCTTTTGAGCACTTTCATGTTATTTTTGCTGTGCTTTTCTATTTCATACTCTGACAGTAGTAAAATAAAAAAAAACAGGAGCTTCTGTAGCTCATGGCAAGTCAGGATAACATAGCTTGTTGGTGTTGTTTTCTCATTAATAATCATGGTAGCAGTGGTTTTGTCTGTACTCTTTAACATGAAATTAATAGAAAAGGCACAGTCCTATCTTGGAAGGTTAATTTAATTTTTTAATTAATTAGTGTACTTTAAGTCTGATTTTTTTACTTATCTCTGTAGGTCCTTTACAGAGAGGTGGCTAGATTGGTCTCAATTTTGTATTTATGAAAGGACCTAGGTGAAGAATTCCTTCCTAAGGACAGTTATATATTTTTTGTCTGTAACATTGGATTTGTGCTTCTGGTGTGGCAGTTGAAGTGAAATGATGACAAAGCAGTTAGTTGGAGGCTTTATGGAGATTTTTAAATGGAGACTCCTCTTTACCTCTGCCTTCCCCAGAGACATTTCACTAGCACTATGGGTTTATTACATGCTGAAAACTGTCAGTGCAATTTCAGTTCTTGATTGTTTTTTCAAGCATTACAAAGCATCTATTTCTACCATCTATTATAAGTTTTCCTGTAGCTTGCCTCTGTATTAAGCAGCTGTTAAATAGTTTGGCTTTTTTTTTCTAATTTTCTTTAGTGGCTGAAACTTACTTCTGATGATGTAAAGGAACAGATCTACAAGTTGGCTAAAAAAGGCCTGACTCCCTCTCAAATTGGTAAGGATTATAAACCACTCCTGAATGGGGACAAACCCACATTTTTTCTGACTGTAATACTGTAATTGTTCCTTCAACCTATATTAAATAAGGTGGTAAGAGAACACAGCATTTCTGGTGTACCTGTTCACTGTGGATACCACAGAGAGTCCTAGGATAATAGCCTGCCACAAGGATCAGCAAGTCCAACATTGAGATGTTTTGTGTGTTGTTCTTGCAGGGAGCATATATACTGAGGCAGTGGGGTTTTTTGTTTTATTTTGGTTTGTTTCTTTTCCAAGTGGAAAACTGTTTCATCTTATAGCCTGTCCTTAGGAATGGCCACTAATAGGTGTTATAGGAAAGTAGGGTGTGCCCAGATTCCTGGAGGAAATTTTCCAATACACTCAGCTCTATGAGGTTTGCTAAGACAGGCATTGCAGCTGCACCATGGACTGGTTCTGGGGTTTGAACCCTTCCAGAGCTGAAGTGTTTGCAAGACACTGGACATGAGCTTTGTATGCAGTGTAAGTAGGCGCTGTGTAAATGAGGTTTTTTTAGTTATTGTAATCCTGAAAGCAGTATTAGATCCTTCTAGAGGGATCCATAGAATGATTGAATACGTTGCTTTAATGAGTCCTGTTGAAAATTTTCCAGTAGTATTGGAAAAAGTGAGCACCTCATGTGTTACTTTAAGTTTCCCAAAGTGATTCAGTTCTATAATCTGTGTTTTGCTCACTCATTGTCTGCCATTTCTTCAGTTGCCACTAGAAAGGCTTTTAACTTGGAGAAGATTTTTTTTTTTTTTTTGATAGCTTGTAACTGTAGGGTCAGTTTCACAGGGTTGTTGGTGTATGTTTCTTCTTTTTATTGAAAGATGTGCATATTTGTTTCAGGTGTGATCCTGAGGGATTCCCATGGTGTTGCCCAGGTGCGCTTTGTTACTGGCAACAAGATTCTGAGAATCCTGAAATCGAAGGGACTGGCTCCAGACCTCCCAGAGGATCTTTATCACTTGATCAAGAAAGCAGTTGCTGTTCGCAAGCATCTTGAGAGAAACAGAAAGGTGAATTCGATAACTCAGTGTCTGTGATTTTCAATTACAGAGTGGTTTGTGTACAGCTTAACAAAGCAAAGACTCTGTGATGTTAGCCCCGCTTTTAGTAAACTCCTGAGGTTGGGGAGTCATTTTGATCAAGGACAATGGTCTTTGAAAAGGATTTTAACAGCAGTGTTTAAACCATGTGTTTCTGGTCCTGCTTTGACTTACACTGAAGGTTTGGTAATGGAAATGTGAAGTTTTTAGCAGTAGCTGTGGATTATTTGCTTTGCTAAAACTCATCTGAATTCTGTATTGAGAAGTGCCAAGTAGTTGTAATGTTGGGGCTGTAATGTAACTTTGTTTTCCAGGACAAAGATGCCAAGTTCCGCCTGATTCTGATTGAGAGCAGGATCCACAGGTTGGCTCGCTACTACAAAACCAAGAGAGTGCTGCCACCCAACTGGAAGTAGTAAGTCTTCTGCATTCCTCTTGGCACTGAATACTGCAAGGTCTTGTAAACTGTGCTGGGGCTGTTACTCAGAGGGTGAGGAGTGCATTGTGATAGGTATGTACACACAATAGGCAGCAGAGAACAAGTATTTTCATAAATAATCAACAGAAAAATCCATGAAAATCCATTGCACTTGGGTTAAATGACTGTTATAAATGACTCTTGGATAAAAATCATGTGTTATATGAAATCACTACCAGGTGATTTTTATAACACTTTACAAACTGTGGTCTGGGTTCTCAGGTACCTTTATAGTTCATGTCACTTTCAAAGTTAGTGAGCTTTGTAGCTGTGACAAAAAGGAAAGTAATTTGTAGCTTTTCTCTAGGAGAGGTAGCCACCATAGAATTCCCACAGACGTTAGGATTAACCTTGTTTATCTAAGGAGACCAAGTGCAGCTGGCCTGGTTTTTAAATACATGGGTTTATGCTGTCATCCTAGGATTTTTATTGTAAAAGGAAGAGTGAAGTCTTAGGCCATGAACATTTTTTAATAGTGATTTAGCTGCTGGTAGTAGTTGACTGATAGTTAAAACTTTTAAGTGAAGCTTTGTTTTTGATAACTAGTTTGAAAAACTGCCTCTGCAATTATTTTTTTTTCTCTCCTCTCTTTTTAGTGAATCATCGACAGCTTCTGCCCTGGTCGCATAAGAGCTGGCTGTGACTAACTGAAAGAATAAATTTTCGTTACCTGAGTTTGTGTGGTCTCTTAAATGGTGCGTTAGAAGCCTCTGCTTGTTTTAGGAGCAGGACCTTTTCCAGGTGGAGCAGGCATGTGGCTGTGGTTTCTGTATTGCTGTCCTGCACTATCAAATCTGGGTCATGCTTGTTGCATTTGTACACCAGCTGGATGTTGGTGTCTGTGCTTGAACTGGTTTGGTTTTCTTTTACCCGAGAGCCTCAAGTTGGTGAAGTGCCCTACTCATTCACTGCAAATGCATTTTATTCACACGGGGCTGTGCCTCTGGTGTCCTGCAGAACTGGTGGAGAAAGCAGTGACAGCAGAAAGACGAAGAAATACAAAAATTGCAGAAGGGGTTATGCAGGAGGTGAGGGGTTAAAACAGAATTGGAGAGGTTAATTAATTCATCACAGGTCATGTGGAGTTCTTGCTTATGCAGAGAGCTTAAGCAAGAGCCAGGAGCTGGCTGAGGTCCTGGCATTAACTTGCTGTCATTTCTGTGTAATTTTAAGAGTAATCTGAGATTTGAGAGTAAATGTGGACAGCAGTTTTAGCTGCTTTCAGATGTTGTGTCT